ATTGATCTGAATAAAATCATTAATTTTGTTGGCTGTAGTCCATTAGGACAAGTGATAAAGTCTTATGTCTAATCATTGTAGTTATCTGTCATATTATAATGAGTCAGAGACTTGATGTTGAAGTCTTTATATGAAAAGGCAGTTATTTAGTGTTAAACTATCAACAGAAATTCTCTTCTTATTGTCTGCTTTCTAAATGCAGATGCTAGATGTACAGCAGCAGTTTCTATCTGCAATCCATTCAGCAGAAGCTTATGTCACTTCTTTGTTCAAGTCAATTGCAGGAAAAATAAGCTGTCACATCTCCTCCCACAAACTCTAACCTGGAAAAGGCAAGATGAGCAGCATGAGCAGAAATGCTACCAGCTGCCCTTTAGGGAGGGATACCAGCAGCTGGCCAGGGCTGAGCATGGAGATAACGTGCCCAGACAGAGTCGTTCCTGTCATCCTCACAGCCCCATCTGTGGCAGAAAGGAAGTGATGGAGCAGTTGTGGCTTGTGGAGGAGGGTTTCAGGCGAGCACTCCTGCTCCCCAGGATGCCAGCAGCTCCCAGGCTAGCCCTTCTCGTGAGTGGGTAGTGCTGCAGGAGCCCGTGGCCCTGGATCTGACGAGGGTTACCTTGGGCTGCATGGGGCTCTGCTTTAAAACATATCATGAAAGCTTCGTACAAGAAGTCACTTAAAATCAGCCTCCAGAAGAAATGTGCTTGCCCCTCCATAGCAGGAGTATTGCATGGGAGTTAATAGCCAAAGGATTTCTTGGGGGCTGACTCTGCCCTTTTAGGAGGTTTGCTCTCCTCTCCAGTTGGTAATGGTAAGAGAGGCATTTTGGAGAGAGCCAAGATATGAGAATTCTAGCAAATAGGAGACCTGTGGGCTGCTTTGATGTGTCCCCACATGCCAACCAGGCAGTTTATCATCATAGGGAGCATGTGGATCAAGCTGGCTTTATTTCCACCCTTTATTCTTTTCTACATCATTGAGCAAGTTCATTTAAAGTTTTTCTAGCTGTAGGAAGCAAAAAAACCAACAACCCAGCAACCATGAACACACCATTTCTGTAGATTCTGTTCTGGTAAAATGTGAAATGACTCATAGTGAGAAGTACTTTACCAGGTTATATCAGGTCAACATTAAGTTTGTTGTACTTTAATCACATCAGTCACGGTTGTTTGTGTCTGTCTTTTTAAACGTTATTTAAGTTGTTTTTATTTACCAAACATTCACTTTTCTCTGGACATTGCAAACATTTCTATCAGCAGTTTCAGTGTTTGACAACTTAGCTGCTACAGCATGCAGATCATTTCTAGCGAACCCTAAGCTACACACAGCAGTCACTAGAAGACTTCCCCGTTGACAGCTATCATATGTGTGGCTAATGCCATTGCCTTGGGACAGATCTCACTTTGTGCCAGGGCCAGGACTGGTTTGACAGGACAAAAAATACAGTGTTCAAATAAGAACAGCAAAATGGGGAAAATAAGTGATACCAGCAGCAGTTCAGCAGGTCAGAGAATGTAAAATGGATACAATTGCTGTGTATGAGCATTTGAAGTAGCCTGGAGTTGATTATCTGCTCTGTCTCTTAAGCAGAGGGTGTAAACACTTGCTGCTGCAGTAACTGAGCTGCTGTCTGCAATTAAAGCTAACTAGTAGTTGCTGAGCTGCAGCCTGCTATTACAGGCATCTCTTGCTCCCCAGACCTAGAGGAACTGAGCTGCAGCTATTGTGGAAGTTGTGCTAGCACTGATGAGCCAAAAAGGTTTGCATTTTCAAAAGTCTGAGAATTAGTTAGTTGCAAACTATTCTAGCCCTCAGATGTCTTTGAGATCAGGAGCCTTGGGGCCAGCCTGTACTCTTGGGATGGTTTAAGTATGGGGCTGCAATGAGAGCAGGCTATGCTGTCAGATATCTGCCTCAGGACCCCTTCCTACCATCTGTTTGATTTGGTCCCTGGCTCCAAGCTATAGGCTGGCCTCTAAGGTTGCTTGGCCAAGGAAGGATTTTGAGAAGACTTACATTTGTAGTCAGCATGCTCAGAGTGTCCTGGACTCGGGTCTTGCCACAGTCATACGCGCTGTACTTAGTCATACTGTTTGCATCAGTGGCTCTCTGGCAAGGAACCCAGATCTACCACGATCAATTCCAGGAACCTACAACTAGTTCTACCTCTGTCTTCTCATACACTTTCTTACAGGTTTGTGCCTGTCTGGAAGGCCGTCACATGCATAAATTATGTTTGTCAACCTGCAAATGTACTTGGGGGTTTGTTTTTCAAGTAGGAAAGAAACTTCAAGGAAGAAGTTGCAGAAGGTGTAAGTGAATAAAAATGCGTTTGTGCAGTTACTATACATGTGAGCTTTGGCTGGGTTTGGTTTTGTTGTAAGCTTGCAGCATTAGAGGTATTTTTAAAGCTCATTTAGTCCACCGATAGTTGAGAGTTTCTGCTAATCCTTGCTGAAGCCTTGATTTTTGACACAGGATTTAATCAGCATGTTACTTCTCAGTGCTAGCAGCAGCACACAAAAAGTTGAAATGATTAATCAAGTTATTTGAACAGATTTCAACAGGATTAAGAATTAACTGGAGTTCACCAAAATTCTCCAGCAGAGATGCAGACTGGGGTTTTAATTCTACACTGGACAGCAAGTTAACATGTAACAAGACAGTTATATCTCCTTTGGGCAATGCTTGTAACTTAAGCTTAAATGGTGCATAGACAGGTATTTTCAGTATAGAGATGGCAGCTGGTTTCTGGCAGAAAAGTGTTTTTCAGGCTCAGTCCTTCAGATATGTTGGTGACTATTAATTCACAACCTTTTTAAGAGAAAGAAGCATTGGAAAAGCAATTACTGGCAATACTGGGTTTATCTCATTTTTTAAAATTCCCCTTGAACTGGGACTGGTAGTCCAAGGGTACAATGGCTTGATAGATGGGGTTTTACAGAGCCCCAAACACCAGTGAAGTTCAACTCTGGATCTGAACTTCACAGCTCAGGCCCATCTCTTGATCAAACTGAAAACACTTGCTGCTTTATGCTGACAGCTCAAGTGTACAAAATAAATGTTTCAAAATTTAATTTGAAGTGTGTTTATAGTCAGAGAAGTGACTATAAAAAGGCATATCTTAATAGATATGCTCTCTCCGTGTTCTTTGGGCATTTCTGCTGATCTTACTGATTCAGGACAAGTCGTTACTACTATCAGTGCTGCAAAACCAGTAACACTGGTGCAAAGAGCTGGATCCCCTCCTGCTATGTGCACTGTCAGCAAAAGTATGCTATTTTCTAGTGCAGATTTTGAATAATTGGATGATGGGCCACAGGAGGAAATAAAGCAGCTTGATTTTTCCAATTGAAGAGAGATTTTTGGTCTCAAAATTAGAAAAAATTGACTGGAGAGTAAACTAAGCTGGTCTGACAAGAATGACTGAGAGTAAATCTGAAACCCCTCCATGTCATTTTAACATCAGCTTTAGAGGTCCTCTTAAATAACACAAACACTAATTCCTGACTTGTTTTTGCAAGCACTGTGTTGTCATTTTTCCTTGACTCATGTTTCTTGCTTATTTAATGTTGCAGTGCTGATTTCCAGGTTGATAAATAAATAGAATCACACATGAGAAACTCTGAGAGCTGAGCAATGGAGCAGTAAGGTCATAGAAAGAATAGAGTGTGTGATTCCGAAATATTTTTCTGTAGGACACGCTGATGATTCTTTAAAATTACTTATTGGAAAAAAATCTAGGCTGCAAAGCAATAAACCTGATCTTCAGGTGTGGTTTTACTTTGAAAAGCAATAATGTAAAAATGCCACCTTTGTGCTCAACAGATTTTTTCTTTGTACATATGAATCCACAGATGTCTTCTGTTTACTGCACTGCCCAAAATAATTTTGTTCTGCTTTTTTACTCCAGTTACCTTTGAAGAGTCTGTGTAACTCCAAGGACCAATTAGTTGGACTCTGTTGCCCATTTTATATTGGGAGCATTGCTATTCCTGCTTTTTAGTTTGCATTTCTGAGACATGAGGTGAAAAGTATTTAAGCACGTGAAAGTGCAGATATGTGCCTCATGGGAATTCCCAAAGAGCCTAACCTGTGTAATCCTGTTAGAGTCTCCCTCTGTATTTATGTGTTTAACTGCTTTAGAAAGTCCATCCCATACCAATTGAAGAGTCACTGATGTTCAAGCTTGATTAATGATTAATCGTATCAAAGAGAAACAGTTGCAATAAACAGCACTTCTGGTCATTGACCTCTATTCCTTGAAGTGACACATGAGAGGGAAGGATCCCAGCTCAGTTTGTGCATCTGAAGCTGAGCTGTTTGTCTGTGTTACTTGAACAGAATCTAACGTGGGAATCGCTGGCATGCAGAAAGCATGACGTATGGCAGCGTTTTTGCAGGGTTTTTCAAAGCAAAGTTGCGTGCTGAATACATGCATCGTCAAGTACAAATATCTGAGTTCTGAAACCTTCCCTGGAGGGGCTGGGCGGGAAGGTGGGAATACAGCAAAAAGCTCTTGGAGAAATTAAATTAGTGTATTTTTGTAGCATTCTTGGGCACCTGTTATATGTGAAGTTCTATGAGCAGTGTTACATATTTTTTCCTTTTTTTCCTGGAGATGTAATGCTTTTTGGGACTTCAAAAAAAGGAATTCTTAAACATTTCCATGGGTTGCAGAACAGCTGGAGTGATACAGAAGATACAGAAAAATAGCAATCTGTCTACTAAACTTTTATGAATAATCCATTATTTTATGTTTAAAATAACAATTAAAAAATTACTTGAAGAATAGCTTCTTGGTTTCTAATTGTGTTAATGAAGCTTACATTAAATTTAGAAAAGCAGAATAAGACCATCATGAAGAAGCAGCCTCATAATGATAGCAATATAATTGTGAGACAGTGGTAAATAAGAAATGTCTTCTCTAACAGAGCTAATTTTTCTTCTTCCCTAGGTGTATATGTATTAATAATATCCCTTCTTATTTCTTCTAGGCACCAGTAACAGATGTTCAGTTTGGCCCTATGAGACTTCATCAAAATCAACTTCAGGTAATACAGCAATTCAAACTGAAGTCTTAGTTTCTAAAACATCACAGTTGTTAGCTTAAAAATTATGACTAGAATTTTGGGGGTATAAAGATATTCACAGAGCATTTTTGTCAAGTGATAATATGTACCTAACAGATTTTTATCACAACATTCTATGTGATAGCCTAAAAATCCTGCCTAACTTTTTTCTCTGACCATCACTCAGCTCATGAAAATAGAGCTATCTGTAGTTCTTTCTGCTATCAGTTAGTTTGTAATCAGTTTAATGTGTGCCTTGTTTTGTATTTTACTGGTAGTCAATTCTTAATCAAAATCTCATCAGAATGATACTAAGCCAAATGTCCTGTCAAGGTCTATTACACCAGCATTATTACTAGCATCAGCAAAACTTGCAGTGTGTCATCACAAAAGGCATGAAGTGAGCTTAGCAAAGCATGGGGTTTTTTGTTATTCATTGTTGACTGGCATTAATTCATCCTCATTTATCTCTTTATTAATTAAGGTTCTATGTTAGTTATCCCCTTAATTTGTCTGGGATGGGTATGAGGTTTGCAGACACATGACTCCTTTGGACTTTCTCTGCAAATTTCCATGTATCTCAAGGCAAACTGAACCATTAATAATCCAAGATGTTTCTCAGTCAGTAATTACAAAACTCCTGAGTGAAAGTAATCTGGACCTGGTAATTTGAAAATGTCTGTCTTCAAGAACTGCAGTTCAACATCTTCCTGAGCTATTGTCAGAACAGACAGTGATCTTATCAAACATCAGATCTTAGGACAGCCTTATGCAAGTATAAATCGGAAACGTTCCTTGAATATTTCTGCTTTCTTTATTGTTATTAATGACTGTATCACTTTTGTCTAGCCATAGGCCATTCTAAGATTCTACCAATTTATCCTGGTAATATAGACGGCAGGTATGAGGGAAGGAAGAGTTAGACAACATCACATTTGTGCCAGAGTCAATCATACAACTCAGATCTGCTGACTTGCTGTGCTATTGCTGAAAACCGTTCTTCCACTCTTTAAAGAATATTATAAATTAACTTCACTAAATGTAGCCCAAACTATGACATGTTTTTGCAAACAGTTTTGCAGGTTGCTATAAAATGAATCTGAACTAAATGAGTACAAAGTCCTTCATTCTTACAAAAATATGCACTACATGGAAATGTTAAGATTTACTGGTAGACATTCCACCAGCCTGGTCCAAAACGTAACCAGCACTGGAATTCCTAAAATCACCCAGAAGATAAATGGCAGTGGGATGTGGTGCGAGTTACACATGCTCCATATTATTGTTTGACGAAAGCATATATCTAAGTGTGGTTTGATTAAATTACTGAAAGATTGGTGTCTTAGGACAATAGACCAAATGCTGGTTTGGTTACCCATCTTTCCCAAAGGGCTGCATATACTGAGTCATCCACAAAATCAACACTAACATAGATCTATAGTTTGCCATTCTGTGTATTTTTTGAGGCAAAAGAAGTTTTCTTCTACAAAATATTATCCTCACGCAAAATACAGTCATATCAGTAAGAGTCTTCCTTAGCAGACTTATTTATCTTCTGTACCGTATTCAATCATAGAATTTGAAATACGTTTTAGAAGGAATTGGGCCTTATCATACTTTGAGTATGTAGGCATTGTATTAATTTTAAAAAGGCTCAGAGAGATTAATGTTATTGGCAATTACACAGCAGGTTAGGACAGAGCAAATACAGCTCATAGATCTGACTTCCAGTTCTGGATTTCAACCATGGCAATCTCCTTCTGTGATATAAATGCCACGGCAAGCTTTGCATATAAGTCACATGGGGACATACTCCATATACAGAGGTACTGCTTATGATTTCAGTCTTGCATGAGTTCATTTTGACCAGCCTGTCTGTAGTTTTCAGAAACTCTGCAGAGTGGGCTGCTTCCTGTACTTTGGGGAACTAGAATGAGTTGAAAAGGAAAGCACATTTTCCATCATGCCATTGAAGCACCGTTAAATATTAATTCACACAAGGTGAACCATGGCTTTTTTTTTTTTTTTCTGGAATATGATCCTGACGAGAAAAATATAACTGGAGAAAATGGTTGCAAGACAATTTCAGTGAACAGAAGTAGACTTGGTGTTATTTCATGTACACTGTCTGAAACGTAGGCATCTAGTCTCAACTGATTGCCTAGGCTGTCTTTGTAGCTAATGATGAGAGAGCCACTTTGCAGACTTGTTCATCCCATGTGGATATAAATGGCTCTGGCAGACTTTTTTATCCACTTGAAACACCTCTGTATACAGACAATTATGAAAAGGAATAGGCTGTGGAAAACAATTCTGTTAAAAATAATGGATTAAGCCTTGGAATTGGCTTTAAAAAATATGTTAAGAACCGGCAAAAGTCACAGAATCTACTGTATATGTAAGACTTGTTTCTAATGATTCACTGTCTGCCTTTAACCCAGGTACTTTTAGTGTTTGCCAAAGAAGATAACCAGAGTAACGGGTTCTGTTGGGCATGTGAGAAAGCTGGATTTCGATGTAATATTGCCAGGACACCTGAGTCTGCATTAGAATGTTTTCTTGATAAACACCATGACATTATCATTATTGACCATAGACATTCCAGATACTTTGATGCAGAAGCATTATGCAGGTAAGCACCATTTCAGTGTAATTAATGCTTAACTATATAGTTAACACATCATCAAAGGTTTTTTTTTTTGCTTTTATATGACCCTTTTATAAAATCTATTGACCACTGATATTTTTTGGACAGATATCCACTGGCAGCCTCAAATCATGTTACTTCAGTGCTTTACATCTGATAGCTGCAGCATTGCTGTTTGTGTGCTAAGATATCTGAAGCTTGATCTGGCTTGGAGCCACAGCATTCAAATTTCTTGCCATAGAACTGGGTTTTTTTTTCAAATACCTGGTTCCTTGTTTGCACATTAAATTAACTGCAAAGATCTCATGTGCCACCAAGCGATTTTTTAATGAATATATTCACTTCATTAGTGTACTGATTTTTCTGAAATGTCACTTGCTGCTGAGTAACTCCAGATGCAAACAGGCAATGTTTTGTGTGCACATTTCCATACCTACAACATTTGAAAATCTGTTGTGAAGAGCAAAGTTGCAAACTGGTTCCAAAAATACTTTCACAAACTGCTGTAAAGTATGAAAAAAGGGAAAAAGGATTTGCCTTTCTGAGTCTCTCCACAGAGACTTGACAGGCAGTGATGCCTTGCTTCAGTGACTTTGCAGTGAAATACCCCATGGGAATGTGTCTAGACTAAATAACAGTCTGTGGGGTGGGGGTGGTGGGGTCAGATTATGTATCCTGGGTGAGTGCAGTGGGTTCAGGGTACTGGGACAAAGGCTCTTCCCCTTCCTAAACTGAAGTACCTAGATAAAATCTTTGTCAGGCAAAGACTAGATATCAGCATTGTTCTTGTTACATTTTTAACATTCTCTCCCAGAATAAAAGAAAATGCTCATTCAATGAGTGAGACCAAGTCCTGCAAACAAGTCCATTACATGCTGTTTCAGAGGGGAGAATTTTTGCTATTCCCCCATTGAGAGTATTTGAGGTTTAGATTAATCTACATTCTCTTTGTCTTTTTTTCATGGAGTCACAAACACTGCTAAATTTATTCTCATTTCTTAGTGGTCCAACAGGCTTGGAATTCGGTTTTTGTTTTGTTGTTAAACTCTTTAGAAGAAGCATTTAAAGAAAAGCACTGTGTGAAGTTTCTGTAAAGTTACATTTTCTGAAATGTGAACTTAAAAAATGTTAAATGACCTTGCTTTTTAAAGGTCTATCAGAACAACGAAACCCTCAGAAAATACAGTCATTATTGGTGTAGTACGAAGGTAAGTATTCATATCTTTACTTTTACATGATCAACAAATTGCAAATACTAGCACTGGAAAAGTAAATACTACATTAAAAAACTTGAATTACAACATCTTACTGTGCTAGTGTCAATGTGTTGTACCATATGGAGTTTTCACCATCCTTGACCACAGGATTGGGACAGGATTCTCGATTTCTATTTTTTACTGCAGAGGTCTCACTTTGGATTTTTTTGTTTTGTTTTTTTCCCCTCTCCTGATTACTGAGGGTTCTAAGACTATGTTTCAAATAACCTCTGCAACATCATGTACAGAACTGTGAAACTGCCTCGTAGATCTGTACTTTGGTATTAATAAAAATAACACTTTGAACCTTTCTTGATCTTTCAATCTGATTAAATCTCAGCACAAACAGGAGATCTGTTGAGTTACAAAAAAAAAAGATGTAGGTGTAGGACAGTTTAAATTAGCATCTGACCATATAGGTTTTAAAAAGAAAAAATACTATATTATGACATCTCAGTAAAGCGGTGCATATGCTTTTTTCCTCCTCTCCCTCTGAAAATATTACTTATGTATCATAAAATAATGAAAATGCAGCATATTTAATCTGAAATTAAATAAATGGAAGATAGTGTCCTCAGAGTACAACTTCGGGAATGTCCGTTTCTCAGAAAACATTTATTCTGAAAACCAATTCTGAGGTGTTGAAATTTCCCATTTAAAATCCTGTTTTCCACTACCATCATATCTAGTCAACAAAAGACTGTAATTAAATATTTCAAGGGATTCCATTGTGAATATATATTTAATATTTTTATGCCAGGAAGCCTTCTGACTATGCTAACCATTGCTTCTGTAGTCAGAATTGTCTCTCATCAAGGAGAGACATTTACATAAACTTAATATAATTGCATTTCTTCCAGATTCCAGCCATGTAGGCTTTCAAGTGAATCTTTGACTAGGGACAGCATAAACAACAAAGAATCCAGTACTGAAAAAGAGGGAATAGTCCAACGATCTAGCTAATGGATTTGTTTTCTTAAAGCATTAGTTTTTTGTGATGTAAGCAGCTCATCACATGCAAAAACAAAAGTAAGATTTCGGCTTATCTGTGCCGAAGATGAGAGCTTATAAAAACCACAAAAAATATGTTTTATTCATAGATCCTATAAGGATCTAGCCATATTATCCTTTAGTGTTATGTCTGCAGTACAGGTATGTCAATGGCTTGTGAAATTGGGTCTCAGCTACAGAATTAATCTCTGACTTTATCATCCTTCTTTAAAAGGCATGCTGATCGTGAAGAGTCATCAATATTGCCCCTGATCTCTGCTGGCTTCACAAGGGTATGCGTGTTTTATATGCTACTAGGTTGCTCTGACATTCTGACATGCAAGAAACTATCCAGAAGTTTGTCTGTCAGTGACTATGTCAGTAATCCAGGCTGTCAATCCTGTTCATGCTGTCCATTCTTTTATATATATATATATATCCCAATTCTGAACTACCATACACCAGTAGAATTAGAATAATGCTGACTAAATAAATGGACATTCTCAGGAATCCAAGAAGTGGCGCTGAGACTTTTCTACTTCATACATTTATTTCAAAGTAAGTACATGATGCTCTGCTTGAAAGGTTGACATTGACAGAATTGACTCTAGTGACTATAGCAGAGCCAGAGGGCAACTTGCAATGAGCAACAGAACATGCTGTGGGGAAATCTCTTCTATCAAATGCCAGTTCACATCTGTAAACAGTCTTCAGACACTGTCAAGTGCTATTATCTATTGTTTGGAGGCACCTGAAAAGTATTACATTGAATCTGTTCCTTGGAAACTATTACAATTAAGTGGGAAAGGTGCTTATTAGTGTGTCTGTTAAGTGGATTCCTCATTGCATTAATCTGACAATGGAACAAAAACGTGCATGATATATAATGTGATTCAGAGTATTTGGTTGCATACTCACCAGATTTTTGGTATCCCATCACAATCTATTTGCACCTATTTGCTTATTTGTATTAAGGTCCTAATACAGGAAATGCTAGCCTGAAAATAACTGTACTTATATGTACAGACTCATTCCAGTGGGCACATAAGTAATCCAACACAGGTTCTGAATTATTTATGGATCAGAGCCTTGAAGATGGGACTAATGGCAAAGCATAGCAAATTTTCTTTAGCAGCCTTGATGTGGTGGCTCACCTTTGATAATCAGTCCTCCCTCCAAAACAATCAATGTCTGTGGCAGTTTAGCAGGAACAAAGATTTAAAATTCAGGCTCATACCTGGCAAATATGAGATGTTTTAAAAAAACATCAAAGATACTGATGTAATTGCTATACAAGCCCCAAAATGAATCAATTATATCCAATGGCAAGTATATTTCTCAGGAAGTTTTGCTTTCCTCTATGTATACAATTTGGGTTATTAGCAATTAGAAACTCATAATAATCTCCAATTTTGATGACTTGAGACACAGCATAATTTTTTCACTGTTATTTTAAATAAGTAGCATGAAAGCATAAAAATTAATTTAAAGTACATCATTTTATATAGTGATCATGCTGACAGTCACAGAAAATAAACATATTGTTAAACTTCATTGCCATGAGGATCTGTCACCTTTTCAAAATGCAGTAACCTGAAGAACTTTACTAGTCCCCAAAAATAATCTTCTCATGTTGCTTGTGTTACAACATGTTAATTTTTGGCATATCTACTCCTTTTTAGCTCTTTATCAAGCAAAAGAAAACAGAGCTTCATACCCTTGAGTACAGAAATGTGTATTAATGAAATATTTCTAACCTTTTGTTTGCAGAGATATATAGAAAATTCTAATATAATGGCCTGCTACAATGAGTTGATTCAGCTGGAATTTGGAGAGGTGCAGGCACAATTCAAACTAAGGTAATTCTACCAAAAACATTGTCAACAAAAGAATGCCAATTCAGACACATCCTTAAAAGAATATTTATTTTACTGTATTGTAGTTAATTATAGATTGTCAGTTAGTAAAGTACAATCTTACTCACTATAGAGTTGCAATACTTTATTATCATATACAATAAGAATTATGTGGATTAAATTTAATCAGATGTCTCTTTTTTTTTTTTTTTTTTTTTTGTCTCCAGGGCATGTAATTCATTATTTACAGCATTAGAGAAAAGTCAAGAAGCCGTTGAGATCACAAGTGAAGACCATGTAATACAGGTTTGTTCCAGTTACTTTTATGGGTCCAGAAAATTGCTCTGTGGACTGACTGTATTTTATTTCATCCATGATTACATTTACTCTTTCTACAGTACAAGAATCTAACCTAACTTAATGGTTCCAAAAAGATTGGAGTGAATTTAGCTGTAGAGAAAATTTTCTCTATTTAAAATATCTTGCATAAATCAAGTCAATTTAAAGGGAGATTGTTGTTTCTGAATGAATAATGATTTACTCTCTTGTTTTTATTTTTTGCAATGAGTCTTCTATATCATGAATGAATATAGCCACTGGCTTATGTGCATTCTTTTCCAAAAATATTGTGTAATAACTTTATGCTCTTGGAAAGAAAACCTAATTGATGTTCTGTTGAAATAAAGGTAGTGCGCTTTTTTTTTTTCCTTGAATCTGATATTGTTTGATGCATTGGAATTCTTGGCCTAACTGGTTTTGAATGTAAACCTATCTTACAAATTTCTTTTAAAAAGGAAAAAGAAATTGTGTTTATGTTTGCAGTCCTGAGAACCATCATCTTTATAAGGGAGTTAGTTTCATCCCTAGCTACGAAGGCTGTGAGGTGTGATTTTATTATCGGTAAAGAGCTTGAGTCTAAGCCTCTGGGAGTTGTAACATGCATATAAATTGTACCCTCTTGACACAAATCTTGACAATGGAAATTTCATTGAAGTATATGCCACCTTCATCCCTTTTACAAAAATAACAGAACACATCCTGAAGTTGCTTTCAATACGTTTTTTCAGACCAAGTTTTGTCCCTCTGCTGACAGCCCCAGAATACGAAAAAACCAACATGCAAGAGTTCTGAGCTCCAGCAGGCAGGCCTTTCTTACATAGGGGGTTAACCTTTTGGAAGGAACCTTTAGAGGAGAACCTTTAGGAGCAGAGGGCATCCAGTGACACCCTTTTCATTTCCCTCATATTGAAACACTGTGAGCTGTGAGGCATTCAGGTGCTGTTAAGACAGGACCTGTGTCTGTAACTCAGCTAGCTAGCGGGTCATGAAGGTGTGTGCTATGGGTATCAGTCTTCAGTTTTGTTGGGCAAGGACCACAATATTGCAGCCAAATGCAACATTCAGTTGAGAGAAAGTTGCTTTATTACATGCCACTTCTTCCAGTGTGCTTGGCTGGGCTTTGCCTAGAGAGGGGAACAGTGATGGTTTGCCCCTGCACACAGCGAGATAATTCCTTTGTCAAGAGATGAGGTTGACATTCCTATGGTACCCCTCATCTAACTTGTGATTTTTAGGAACATTGAGGTAGGTTTGAGGTTATTGGGTTTGAGAACTGACAGAGCTCATTTTTCAGGAGTTCATGTTGTCCGTCTAAACTCTGTAGATATGTAATGCTCAGCTGTTTCCATAATTTCCCTCTCTTTCCTTGCATACACACACTCTGCACAGCTCTTCTAGCATGGACATTCCTGTTTTGCTTCACAAAGAAGAAAATGTAGACATCTCTCTCAGGAGCAGTACATAGAGAGATTTATTTCAGGCTGGGAAAGAGATTCCTTGGTTTAGCAAATAGAAAAAAAAGGGATTCGGTTGTGCTTTAAGTATACTGTTGAATGGATTTTTGTTTGTTTTTATTTCACAGTACGTCAATCCTGCTTTTGAAACAATGATGGGCTATCAAATAGATGAACTAATAGGAAAGGAATTAACAGAAGTGCCTATAAATGAAAAAAAAGCTGATTTCCTAGATACTATTAATTCCTGCATAAAGATAGGAAAGGTGAGTAATGTCATTGTATCCCTTACCACTTGCTACCAGTAAAAGTTGTTATTGTCCAGTGATGACATGTGATGTAACTTGCAGCTTCATAGACACATAGCATTTGCAGCTTTCTTACTCAAACAAGAAGAGGAAGTAAAAAAATGCTAATTTTTTAAGGGCTTCTTTCTCTTTTCTTGCTTGGAAGTGGTCCATATTTTATGAAAATAAGTGTCTTGCTGTGTTTATAATATATGCTGTATGTAGCAAAGGGTGTGGGAATATCAAAGAGAAATGGGATGGATGCACATGTTATCCATTGTGATGTAAATAAGAAAAGAACCGTGTTGAAGCATTGCAGCATGAGATGTGGAAGCTGGTTTGCAAGTTCAGAATGTAAGAATATCAGAAGAGACATTTGCAATATCACTTGAGAGTGATAGGCAGTGTCAGCTGCCAGCTGCCAATATCTTCTATTCTCTAATGACATGGGAGCTGTCTAATGGATTGCCATTAGAAATGTTTGTTGCACCAAGAAAAAGTGCATGAGGAACTGCATCTGGCTTCAAGGGAGGGCATTACAGACAGACATCACTGTTTGCCTGCTAGCTCCATGATGTTCCCTTGGGACTATTGTGGCTGTAGTGTGAGGATCCATCTGGGAGCTTTCATTTGCATTTTGACAATGAAGTGTAGATGCTTCTTATGTCATTGAACATGTCATGGCACCTTACAGGAAGAAGATCATGGAGGTTACACAAAAAGATTTGGGAACAGGTGTGTTTGTAGATGTGTCATGGCCCATGCTCAGGCCTGCGTCAGGATAGCTAGTTGGGTCATACTGACTGTGCGGGGAAGCAGCATGTTATTGACACAGAGCAGGAAGATGCTAAAATGAATCATGACACTCTGCGTATCTAGGCAGTGATGCAAAAGCACCGATGCAAAGTTGTGATGAGTCATACTCTGTAAAATCAGGGTACCAACACAAGCATTCATCAACAAAAGCTGCACTCTAGCTGCGTGCAGATTGCATGTGCATTTCAACAAGAATGTGTCCCTAGTTTCTACATGTATTGGCCTTTTGGAGGAGATCCCAGCAATACACAATAGCTTGGATTATGGTGCTTCACACCTCTGTTGCCTGACAGAAGTTATTTGAGTAAATGTGTAATACAAAACTGATGTTAGGAGGGAGTATTTATTAAGTTATAATTCAAATACATTAGATGTGTCAGGCTTTAAATCTACAACATCAATTCTCAAGATACAAAGTGATCAGATTTTTAATATTTTAGTGTGCTGATAAAAATGTCTTTAATAATGGAAATATATTTTACTCTATGAATGATATAAATCTAACCCTAATTCATCTCTTTCCTTGCACTTATTTTACTCCTGGCTCTAGGATTTCCAACTGTGAGAGCTAATGAAATACTACTTATTTAAACCTGTCTGTCTGGAACAGCTTAAGCTTCTTTTAGGTGGATATATTCTGTTTACATGTTTTTTGTATTTCCCTTGGGTACATTTTATAGTACACAGTCTATGTACCCTTACATTTACATATTAATAGAAAAATTAATTGCAGATTTCATTCTTAGAGGAAGTATTTGCAAGTAGAGGTTAACCGTGTGGCGCAACATTTGAAATACTGCAGCCTTTTGGAGGTGCTTTAGTTTGAAATCATTTGTGTCAAGATGTTGCAGCATTTTCAGAGGTGCCTAATTTGTGTCTGGATCATTCTGACATGGTCTGTATGTTGTTTCCAGGCTTGGGATTTTTTTTTTATGTCCTAAATTTCAAAGACTGCTTCCCATTACAGTAGGCTATCTATTGGCTACTGTAGGTTATAGCATACCAAAAAAGCCAACTGTCTACTACTGTGATGTTCTCTTGTTAACACGTTTGGCTTTTCTGTGTTGGTCAAATATGGCAATATAAGAAAGGCAAGATTTTCTGATCTTTAGAAAAATGTAAGCTGTATAAAATCTACCTCTAGTCTTTAAATGGACTTTAGGAAGATGAACCCTTGCAACATTTCCCCTCATGCTGACAAACATAGCACTGTGAGCAAGTTCAGTATATCCAAACAAAAGTTCATAGGCATTATACACAGAAATTGCTAATTGCATGGTACATACTGATTCTTGGGTCAGGGTGTTGTTTCTGTTAGCAAAAAAATATCTCTGGAAGTTCATTTTTTGTTACTACAGCTGGCTGTAATTTGCAAGAACCCAGCGTTATTGAAAGGCATTTTCACCCATCCATACTTATGGAGTTAAAAAACAAGTTGTACTTTCTTCATTCTTCTCTTTCATTATTTGGATTACATCCATTAAGATGAAATGTGCAGTTCTGACTACAGTTTTTGCTACCTCTGATCTCTGCAGTTTGACACAAAGCTCTTTATCTTAGTTTCGCTGTTTCTGAAGTGAGATGGATAGCTATCGATAAATCAGAAAAGACATGTAATTCCTCTCACGCCTTAGGAATTATTTGCAAGATAGCTATCTTTACAGAGGGAGTGAGAGAGCGATCATGCTCTATGATAAACATCTATGGCAATTCCTTCCTAACTCAGCCTTACTTTCCATGAGATTATTTTCATGACATCTTGTGTGTATTTTGGTTTGCTCTGTTTTCTACAAGTAGCTTGCTGAACTTTGCTGTTTAGTGCAAGAAGCCCCAATTTAAAAGGAAGGCTGAACTGAGGGATTACTTACCATGCATGTGTAAGTGCTCAGTGGATAGATGCATGCCATGGCCTTTTTCATGAAGTTTGAAACCTCGGTGTTGATTTACTCTATAAAGGGCAAACCCATTTTTTTGCTGTGTATAGTTTTTACTCTGCATTTGTTGCCAGCATGCCAGCCTGTGCAGAGGTGACTGATCACTGTACTTGGGTGTCTGTAATGTAGACATAACGATGAGCCTGACTGACAGCACGTCTTGTGAAGTAGCTCTTCTCTGTTGGATGGCTGACAGAGGGTCTGTGAGAGAGCATATGCTGTTCTTAAAATATGTTTAAGTAACGTCCCTGGGAGAGCTTTACCTACCAGCAGGAGTTTGGCTTGGACTTCCCGTTTCTCAGAATTCTGCTGACCTTCTCCCTCACACATTTCCTGCCATAGTTTCACAGGTTTTAGAAATTCACAAGTTGAAGAATCGATCTGTTGACTAAGAACACATTAGTGAATAACCTGTCTTGAAAAGGATGCACTTCCAATGCGGGAATTATTCAATCTGTACCTTATGATTTCAACGCTTTGTGCATATTCTGGGTTTATTACCTGGGTTAGAGATCGATTACTCATCTCTGCCTCATCCTGGTTGTCAGGAAACTGTTGATATGCATCCTTTTAATTATGAGAGCGTTGAATTTTGTGATGTTTGCTTTATCTTCATTTGTATTCCACATGCAGCTCACAGGAGAAGATATTATGCTCACTTCACAATTTGTTATGCACAGTTCTTTTCTCTAACAGATCCTCGGAAAAGCCTTTCGTATTTTTTTCTGCACAGCCTGTCACCATGCAGCTCTCTCTGGGCTGGAGTCTTTATTTGCTGGCTCCATCAACATAAATGCAAAGCTGTTCTTGCTGTACCTGTGCTCTGGCCTGCTTGACTGTGAGATCTGTCAGTCTAACATAAATAAATATGTATCATGTGCCTCATGAAGGTATTTTTACATACATTTAAGAGATCTGATCTACAGTCTGCAGAACTCAACTGAAAGACAGCGATTGGCATGGGTAGTTTGTATTAAATGAATATGCAATATGGAATCAATTATTTATTAATCACTTGGTATTTATTAGATGCCCAGCTCAGAAGAGGCATCTATTAAATAAGACCAACAACAACTATTCTAGGGATGAAAATGTGTAGGCAAGATTGTAAATCTTGTCAGGTGCCAGATTACAGAAGACTGGCTCTGTTAGAAGGTTACTGATCCAGAAATGAAAGGGGGAGACCCAGGATTCCCAAATTTTGTTTTCCTCAAGTTTTTCTAAATAGCCCTGTGAGGGGGCAACTATAGTCCAGGCACCACATGCGAGGGGAGACCCAGGGAGGTCCATCAGTGCTGGGGTGTATGTCTTTGCTGTGGTATTTGTATCACAGTTTGAGAAACAGCAGCAGTGTGGTGAGGAAGTTGGGAGGGAGCAACAGGTAAGGGGCCCATGCCCTGGCATGTGCTGAAGCTGCGTTTAGCCGTGTCTGCATCTGTCAGCGTGGGAGCTCTCCTACTTCACAGCGTGGGTGTGGCCTTCTCTGCAGGGAGGTGATTTGGGAAGGGGTGGTAGACCATGATGGTACCTCCTGGATTTAAAATCTCTTCATAACAAGTGGTTGTTTTAACAGTATCTCATTTAAAAGCATGTCTTAAACAAGGGAGAAGAGACATTTCCCCAGTCTCATTGAAAGAGAAAATGAGGCTCTGCACTAGAAAGGTCACATTTCCAGAGGGGACAAAAAAAAAAGACTTCTCACTGCAAAATGAAAAATTCTTTTCCACCATGTCTTTTCTTTTTCCCACTTACGAATTTTATCACAAACCAATCGTACTGGCAGTGACAATCTGATACTTCAAAAATTGTCTACTTAAATGTGATCTTGAAACCAGAGTGCTTTTAGAAGGGAGGTCAGCAGATTGGAGGCAGGGTCCAGTAGCTACTCTACTAGGCTTTCTTTTGCTTTAAAAAAGCCAGGATAAATCTCTGCTGCTTTTTGAGATTGAACTGACAGTGTGGAAAGTAAATGTGCTGTGATACCAAGCCGCTTTTAGTCACAGATATATTTAATGTTAACCAGTGATAAGACTTGGAAACCATGCAGGAGAGACAATGCAGTCCAGAATTAAAGGCTGACAGGTGACCCTAATGGTTTCTCAATGACCTTCCTGGAAGGAGTCAAGGAAAAGGTCAGGCAGGTCAGTGTAGCAGTCCCAGCTGTGTGGTGCGTGATCCTGGGGCAGGGGACGGGGGTGCCGTGCACTGTTAGAGCCTGCTGGCACTCCTGGAACCTCTGGGACTCTTGTTCCAGGCAGAGCCTGGTCCAAGCTCTTGCTCTCGTGAGGGTCTTTGCCAGGTCTCCCCTCAGTGTCCCCCAACACCATTGAGGTAGGATTGGGAGGAGAATATGTGGTTCTGATTCCCACAGCACCTGAGGTTTGGCTGTTGCCATCAGGGCACTCACAGGCTATCCCTCTGGAAGTTCTCCATGCATTGGCAGCAACATACTGACCTACAGGTTAGTTACAGGGGAGAAATTTGAGGGTAAGCACAGTTTAACGAGTCTTGACTGGTTTTGTATTGTAAGATAGGTTTCAGTGAAAAAGGGTATGAAGCTACAGCTTCACTTCATGTTTTATCTGGACTTCCTTCCACTTGAATTCATTTTTCAGGAATGGCAAGGAATGTACTATGCGAAAAAGAAAAATGGAGATAGCATACAACAAAATGTGAAGATACTACCTGTTGTCGGACAGGGAGGGTAAGTATGAAAGCTACAGCCATGATTTAAGTCTGAATCAAGGCTCAATTTAGAGTTCAGTTACTTTCAGCAGACACTGGATTACCCTGTTAGTCTGAGTATAAAGGAAACTTAAGCAAGGAAGGGAGCCTCAGACCTCTGCATTTAATTCCTTGGAGCAAAATCAACTTTACATGCTGTGTGCAGGGAGAGTGAAGTTCTCTTAATTCTCCCCTAAAAGGAGCCAAAGAACCAGATGTGCTCACTCGTGACTCTTACTCTTCTAATACTCCCTGAAGTGCCAGTGCATCCTCTTCTTTCTGTGCATTGTGTTGGGACCATCGGGACCTACATCCTGGTCCACTGTGCACCTGTACTATTGTCCCTCTGTGCTCATCTACTCATGGCTGTTGCCAGTTGTCTTTATGTGATGAGGTTACTCTATGCTTTGATCGTGGTCAAAATTCAACCATGTCTTGATTTTTTGCAACTTCCATTTGGTCCCTAAATAGAGCATTTGGAGCACACAGGTATACGTTAGTTATTGGTACACTTACGATGAGTCCTTCTATACTACATTGGGAAAGAAAGTGGATCAGATTGCATGCAGTAGTAGTTTCAAAGCCCTGTAAGGCAACACAAACATTAATTAAAAGCATGGCACATTATCTTCCAGACTTGGCTGAGGCAATCATGAAGGAAAGGCCAAATGCAGCTTCTTCGTGTTTTATTCTTAAAACAAAAGTGGTTTGGGTTGATTTCATCCCTGGAAGTAATTCACGTTCTCTACTCTCCATCAATAGAGTGAAAACATATTTTCAGCGTAAGATGACAAAATTCTAAGACCAATATGTTTTACATACATTGCTACTTATGGAACAATCTAAGTCCGTTTGAAGCTGGCTTAGAAAGTTTTCTGATAATCAAAGGTGTAGTTTTCAGGTTGATTGCTGTATCCCTAAATCCTATATAAGGTTTTGATTGCCGGACTGCACTGTTGCGTGTTTCACATTTATATCATACCTGAAACATCCTACAGTAGCCCAGAAGAAGCTGGGGGGGGGGGGGAAGAAAAAGAGAAAGAGAAGCATCTTTGCAAAAGATGCTTCCATTTTATATTCTCCATGATGTGCAGAACTGTGGGGTTTTTTGCCATTCCCAGTTGAGCCTTCCTGCCAGAACAGGGTTTGTCCTATTAATTTGTTGCTCTTACCCATTTTGTGTATCAGCACTGAATTAGAGCTGAGGTTTGGATGGGAATTAACACACTGTTTTTTGCCTACAGAAAGATTAGACACTATGTGTCAATTAGTAGACTGTGCAATGACAACAATAAGGTAAGTGAAAATAGTGCTGTGCTTGCTTTAGTTTGAGCCCTAAATATTACAAAATAATGGAAAAGTTCTGACTAACTGGGTTTCTCATACTAAATTGTAGGCGGAGAAGACATGTGAACGTGTTCAGGCTGAATCTCAGACAGGTATGACACATCTCTTCTGTCCTAATAAGCGAAGAACGTACCTGGGTAAAGAATAAAGTCTGTTGTTAGTGATCTTACTGAAAGCCACAGTTGCACAGGACAGTCTGAACCATACTGTCTAGCTAGCAGCAAGCTGGGAATCCAACTCAAAGGACAGAAAAATAAATACAAGCCCTCTCTACCTGCCTCATTTGTTTTAGAAGTGATATAAAGCAACCTTCCCTTGAATATGCAGTAATAGGGCCCCAAGTTGGTATTGTGGTATTGCTGGATTCAGTGTCACATTTCAGTTGTAGGTAGTGGATCCCTATGACAAAATTAGAAATAAGAAGGTTGCTTTCTCGTCGCCATGTTGCTGTGGATGGTCTATATGTATGTTTGCATTGCTTTTAACTGTATTTTGGGGTATTTACATGTGGATGACCAACACTACCATTCACCTTCATCCCACATATCAACACTTCAGTTAAGACATCCTTGGCATCCACGCTGCAGGTACTTGTTAATTGTAGCCTTGGTAGCACAGATTGTATCTGCTGGAGTCCATAAGGGACCTAGGATACATTACCATGGTGGATAGTGTGTGCCTACTGTGGTCCACCAGTTCTTTGTGGTAGTTGTTACTAGAGTGAACTCAGGTGTGTTGCACAAGCTGTATGCACAACTACAACTGTGTCACTGTGTCAAGAGAGAAACTTTTCCTTCCACGCTGTTAGATCCGTTCTGCAAAAACACTTAGGTGGTTCTGCCAGAGAGCATGACTGGGTTCATGACAGTTGTAATTGGGTGAGAGTTTAAAAAGGAGCTTTCACTGGCTCTCATTTGCTGAAGCATTGTGGTAAACATCATTCAGCTGCTATCAGGCTTTCTCTGAGTTTCAGTTCCTGTAACATACATCTTAGGAACAATTTAATGTCATTGTACAATATCATTTTCTCCACAGATATTCAGACTTGCAGACACAAAGACAGAAGGAAAGGATCACTAGATGTCAGATCCACAACATCACGAGGAAGTGATGGTATGTTAAACAAGTAGATTTTTCTGCTGTCTATATATATTCAGATTTTTATGTGCATACATATATACACACACAAATACAGGTAAGTATGTATGTGTATATGTACACATACACATATAAAATAGCAAGTCATCAATTCATGAACAACTTTGCATTTGTCAAATAGCCCCATTTTTCTTCTCTTGAACTACTTTAAGTCGTCTTTTTGAACCAGTGGAGAATGGAAGGCTATTTGTCTATCCTGCGTGGAAGACCTCATGAGATTCGACACAGATACTTTCAAGTACAAATGACAAACTCTAAACCTATCCAATTATTACACTTCTTACCTCTCAATAAACATATGAAGACAATTTTTTAATGAGTTTTGTTTTCTTTTCACTGTGTTGTATTTTACTCCATTAGATCACCCAAGACTTGATAGATGAGTCATGTATTCAGAACTGTTGCTGATCCTTACATGATTTTGTGAATGCCTGTATCATTACAGCCTAGGCAGCATACACTAGTGAAACTTGAAGCAGGTCTGTGGCAGTGAGAATACAATCACACTCCAGTATAGCAAAAATAGCATTGATTCTTCTTAAGAGCCGCTCAGCACAGAGAGTAACAGAGATGTGTCTCCATTTCATAGGTAGCACAACATAATTATCCAGAAAAATTCCATCTTGCCCTTTTCTCTACAGAACCAAGATTGCTAACTGATGTAAAACATTTGTTTTTCAATTTCCAATGAATAATAGCCCAGAACCTCTGCTGTTTTAATTTGGCATAGCTATCTTCACTTCAAAGGAGCTTCACCTCAGCTTGGAAGCTGACTCATTATGACTTGTCATGTTGCATCAGGCAGCAACAGTAGATATATCCTGTAATAACCTAAGTGCAGTAGTTACCTACCTGTGCCTGCCAGTTTGTACACACACATATCTGTATAGTCTTTCAACTGAGTTTTTATTTGAATATTTTAATTAGTTAAAATAAAAAACCAAAGCTATGCTTTTGCAAGGCTGTTACAGCTACTTAGCTCTAATCTGGGATATCAGTGGTTCAGCGAGAATCACTTTACACTTGTGTGTCCCCAGCAGAACAAGCATGTGTATGCATTCTGCAATAGATTGCCTCTGAAGGGCACATCAAGGTAAGCAATTCAGAAAATGAATCAAGATTTCTTGGCTGAATCCTCCTGTCATGCCTTGTCACTGAAATCAGGATATAAATTCTGCTTTGTTTTCCACACAGGCAGCTCACAAAGGCGGCACTCTTCTATGGCCAGGATACATTCCATGACTATTGAAGCACCCATCACCAAGGTAATGTGCACTGTCGCTAGCCATTGTCAGTTGTGCTGTACTGGGGCAGAAGGCTCCAGTACAGCATCCAGTCTGAGCAGCAAGGCTGAGCTGGCCTCTGGTGCAACTTTTTCCCCCCTTCCACCTGCCCACTGTTTGAGCTCCAAAAAGCCAGAAGCTCTGACCAAAGTTCTCCCAAGCCTACTTAGTAGAGTGCCCTCCATGTGGTCAGCCATTGCATGACCCTTTTTAATAACTTCTTTGCCTATGTGAAGGAAGAACTAGAGTTCCTTCTTACTTCCACATTGTAAACTGTTTTCTGAAACCATTCAAGGATTTGGCAAATATCAGCTCTTTAATAAATTGAGAGAAGCAAATGGGAGAAGGTTATATTAAATCCATTCAGAGACATTTTGAGGCTGTACCTTGAACAGTAAAGTCATTAATAAGACTGCTGTCTTTAAGGCCACGATCTTTTCCCACAGTCAGTAGCAAACATCGGTGTTTTATTAACATCCCTTTCATTTTGATTCTCCCACATGTGGATTAAAGTTGTACATCTTGTTTATTTGCTATGAGTTTTCCATAGTAATTGATGAGTGTCCCTGTTCTTTCTTAAATCACTTCTAAATTCAAAACATGTCTACTGCTAAACTAGGTAATAAACATCATCAATGCTGCACAGGAAAGCAGTCCCATGCCAGTTGCAGAAGCTTTAGACCGAGTTTTGGAGATTTTAAGAACCACTGAATTGTACTCTCCACAACTGGGGACAAAAGATGAGGATCCACATACAAGTGACCTTGTCGGAGGATTAATGACAGTAAGTACATACTGCAACAACTGCTGTTGATTAATGTTCCACTGCCTGATTTTCCCAGTCACTCAGTCTTTATCATCTGGCATGTGCTTTGCCTCTACAATGCCAAATTTTCAGGAAAAGCTACAAACCTCTTTTTATGGATTTTTTCCCCCTACATTAATAATGTAGCTCTGAAATGGGAAGAAATTTGACCAGTCCTTTTGAAGTATTAGTTTTGCTACAAATGGAAAGGAAAACCAATCATTTTTTCAATGTGATTCATTTTACAAAGGTATAAATGGGAGAGGAAAAGATAGTTAGACACTTGTATTACTTAGGATTAGAACGGCATGTTTTGGGGGTTTTTCAGTATATAGAATGTGTTTTCAGAAGAATGCAAAATATATATTTTTTGTGCTATTTCTTGGATTATATTTGTACCCATAGAGACTCACAGAAAGATCAGAGTGCTTTGATCTAGAAACATGACTGTTCACATATTGAAACACAATCATGTTCCACAGAACTCATAATTTAAATAAATAAGGCAAGAAAAAGACTGAAGAAAGCATGTATTAATTTGTTATGTTATGAAAAGAGGAACAGAGGCATTGGAAAAAGAAGCATTATACCCAAAGTTGAAGAAAGGGCACGTAGCAAAGCAAGAATTGAACCCAAACCTTCAGAGCCTGGAGTCTGACCCTCCTGATGATAACGAGATGAACGTGGATGAATGTTACCTGTGCCTTGAGGATATACGTTCCCATTAGTCCATAGATTGCATATAAAAGGCTACCTCAGGAAAAAAATTGACATTGTTGGATGCAAAAAAGCTCACAAGATGTGAGCTTTTCAGAGATGTCTCTAGGCTACTATAATTTCATGCTGTACCTATCAAGACGCCTTTGCAGTATCTATCAGAATCTTGAAACAGTTTAGATAGATTTTTGACCTTTAAAATACCACAGCAAATACCTAATCAGGAGAAACATACGAGAGACCTCATGAATTCTGGGAGAAAACCTGAATGGTTCATATAGGGTTGAACTTACTAACTCAGTAGACAAAATATATTGTTAACTTACCTATAAAAATATAAGAAGAATATTGATACATATAATCATTAGAGTCTCAAAGTAAAGCTTTTTTTTTCTGCTGGATACACACGGTCCATAAACTCAACTGTTTTCTCCTTTTTGTGGATTGTTGGTTCTTACATACTTTTGTATTCTGATTGTATTCAGTCCATGGTCCCAGAACATGTAGGTAACAATATTGCAAAACACAAAATCCTTACTAAAAGTAAAACAAAGGCTATTTTATGGAGCAATAGAAAAGCAGAAAAAATCTTATTTCAGAGCATGAGGATATATGGTATAGTATGAGTTTTAAAATGATCTGGCAGAAACATTTTTCCAGCAAAACATCTGTTGAAAACTGAATCATATTACATTTCATGTTCAGAAGTTATGTCTGAGTAGGGGAACAAGTAATAGTTTATTGGATTTTAACTCAAGCAGAATTCATGATGGGGAGGGCATTTGGAGTTCAAAGATGGATTTGCCAGATACAATTACACCTGCTAGTTCAACTCTTAATGAAACTAATATTTGATTCTTAATGATGGCATCTGGTGTCCTAAATATTTGTGTCATAGCAGTGCTATTGAACAGTCACTGAGCCAGCTGTAGGAATAGTACTCCCTTTCCTTTTAGATCACAAAACTCCAGACTAATTTACTTACAAATGTGAAAATAAAAATGAGATATAGCAATTCCTTTAAGTGCAGACATTGCATGTTCAGATATAGCATCCACATTTACTTCTGCTATATTTTGGGTGCATAACATTGTTAGTGAGGTGCATTCAGAACGATAATATTTTTTAATAACTGGATTTGACATCATGGGCTAAACATTTGTATTGGGTTTGTGTGGTGGGGGTTTTGGTAGTGGGGGAGGGGCCACAGGGGTGGCTCCTGTGAGAAACTGCTAGGAGGTTCCTTGGCTCCAAGTCAGACCCACTTCTGGCCAAGTGTGGTTTAGCCCCAGCCCATGACTAAGTACCACGCAGCCACTTGCTCAATTCTCCCGCCTCCCAGTAGGATGAGGAGGAGAATAAAAAAAAAAAAAAAAAAAGTAAAACTTGTGGGTTGAGAAGAACAGTTTAATAACTAAAATAAAATTTTAAAAAAATTATTGTAATGAAAAGGAATATAATAAAAAAGAGAGAGAGGAGTAAAACCTGAGAAAAGACAAGTGATGCACAATAAAATTGCTCACAACCTGCTGACTGATGCTTGAGCAGCCATCAGCCCCCAACCAACTCCCCCCAGTTTATATACTGAGCCTGATGTTCTATGGTATGGAATACCCCTTTGGCTAGTTGAGGTCAGCTGTCCTGGCCATGCTCCCCCCCAGCTTCTTGTGCTCCTGCTCACTGGCAGAGCATGAGAAACTGAAAAATCCTTAACTTAGGATAAGTGCTACTTAACAGCTAAAACGTCAGTGTATTATCAACATTATTCTCACACTAAATTCAAACCACAGATCTGTAGCAGCTACTAGGAAGAAAATTAACTCTATCCCAGTCAAAACCAGGACACCAAGGCTGACTCAATCAGTGATGGTGGTAGCACCTCTGTGGTAACATATTTATAAGAAGGAAAAAAAACAAAACAAAACAAAACAAAACCAACTGTGCAGCAGAGGGAGGAGTGGGATGTAAGGGAAGCACCTATGCAGACACCAAGGTCAGTGAAGAAGGAGGCAGGGAGGTGTGCTGGAGCAGGGACTCCGCAGCCCGTGGTGAGAGGGCAGGCTGTTCCCCTGCAGCCCACAGAGGTCACTGGTGGAGCAGATGCCCACCCACAGCCCGTGGAGGACCCCACACCAGAGCAGATGGCTGTGCCTAAAGAAGGCCAGGACTCTGAGGGAAGCCCACGCTGGAGCAGTCTGTTGCTGGGAGGACTGCAGCCCACGGCAGGGCCTCATACGGGAGAGCAGCTTGTGAAGAGCTGCAGCCCGTGGGAAGGACTCGTGTTGGAGAAGTTTGTGGAGGACCGTCTACCATGGGAGGGACCCCACTCTGGAGCAGGGGAAGAGGATGAGGAGTCCTCCCTCTGGGGAGGAAGGAGCGGCAGAGACAATATGTGATGAACTGACCACAAACCCCCATTCCCTCACCCCCTGTGCCGCTGCAGGGGAGGAGGTGGAGAAATCTGGAGCAAAGCTGAGCCCGGGAAGAAGGGAGGGGTGGTGAGAAAGTGTTTTAAGATTTGTTTTTATTTCTTATTATCTCACTCTGATTTGATTGGTAACTGATTTTTTCCCGAAGTCCAGTCTGTTTTGCCCATGACCGTAATTGGTGAGTGATCCCTCCCTGTCCTTGTCTCAGCCCATGAGCCTTTCATTATATTTTCTCCTCCCCATCCCACTGAGGGGGGAAGACTGAGTGAGCGGCCACATGGTGCTTAGTTGCTGTCTGGGCCTAAACCACAACAACATTAATTTGCAGTAACTAACAGCTGTATACATCAAAAGAGCAAGCGGAGTTTGGGCACAGAATTTTGAATTATGAGCTGACAAGTAAATATTAAATATATCATTCTGTTAGTTCTAATTCTTCAGCTCAGTTTGCACATCTAGGTATCATGCCAGAATTAAGCCTAGGAGGCACTAAATTGGAGAGTAAACAAGCATACGTTCTTCTTTGGTAGAAGGGAAGCTTCAGAGTAATTTGTTGCTCTGCAATCCCAGCAACAACGCATGAGATTCTTATGCTGCTGAAGTGACCTGATCTGCCAGTACTGGGGGAGGAGAGCAGAAGCATGTCTCCATCCATTCCCTCCCACCACCCACCTTTGTTTGCTGATGGGAAGTATGTGGACATACCATGTCTGGTTTGTGGCACACATCCAGAACCTCTGTGTGTGTTGTCCAGACAAAGGTGGATGTGAGGCTGTAATTCCAGACCTCTACCTGCACCTGGGAAATATGAGGTTTCACCTGCCTGTGAAATTGTATGTGATATTGTATCTCTTATCTTGCAGTTTCTCATCCATTATGAACTATATGTAAAAGAGGAAAATCTTAACAGTGCGCACTGTAGTACACACTGTTGTGACAGGTTGCGGTCAGGCTTCTCTGAATTCATTGTGCTACTATTTGGTGTCATCATCTTATAGACCTTTTGTACAATAGCCTACGTTTAACTCTCAACTTTTATTGAACAGGATGGTTTACGAAGATTATCAGGGAATGAATACATATTGTCAGCAAAACGTAAGTTTTAATTTGGTGGTTACTGAGATATTAAAACATGTTAAGAAATTGAAGAAATGGGAAATTTAAAAATATGTTTTATATAATTCTATAAAATATTTTTTTAGAATTTAAAAATATTTTTGTAAGCATTGTTTGGCTTTGTTTTATTTATAAGCATTGTTCTGCAGTGTTACTGAGCTTTATAGAAACAAGAGTTGCCAGGCATTACTACAGAAAACATGTACATTGAGTGAAGGTATGTCTCAATGTTATCAGTAGTGATCTGCAAATATATTCCTCAACAGAATCTCATCAGGTCGTTGGCAGTTTGATCTCTCCAATCTCCCTCAATGACATACCCCCACAGATAACACAGGCAATGGAAAATGAAGAACACTGGGATTTTGATATCTTTGAACTTGAGGCTGCCACCCATAAAAGGTCAGTAAACTCAAGAGCTCATAAATTGAACTTGCTGAAAACTGAATTAAATGTCATCCTGTAATCAGGTCTTGAATATTTCTACCTGTGCTTTTAAAATGGAATTACTTTTATTTTCAAAGTCAAATGTTTGAAATTTTCTCAGTGTCATTTCTTGTTGTATATGAATCTATTAAATATCTTCTCGTTCATCATATACTATTTCCTGCAGATTCCCCGTGGACGTAAGTGAAGATTATATATTTTTTATATGATATAATAACAAAACATCATAATTTTAAAAGCCTTTATTTTCTGTTCTCAATAATACAAAAGCTCTACAAATCCAGTTGTTGTCTTATGGGGATTCAAATTCAAATTATGGCCAACTGCACACAGAGTCAACATGCTGGTCTTAATTTGATCAGTTGACACATACCATGTTTTATTTTCTCTCCATGTAATTGGGTAATTTTTATTCCTAAAGTCCAAATACAGCTTTTCAGCAGAATTCCCATTGCCTTTCCCTGGGATTAGAGGAAGGTCTTTATTCTAAAATCTCAGCAGGCTACGTTTTATGTATAAGATTAATGGAAGAATATTTACTGATAACAATTAGGGCATACCAATTTCCATCACAGAAGTTTTCAAAAGCAGATCAGCAGTTTTGACAGACTGTACTTCATTAATAGCAAATTTTCCCCTTAAGACTGTAGATTTATTTTTCTGTTTAAATACTTGTTTTTATTTTCTGATGCCTACCAAAAGTTCTCCTTTGGGTCTAGTTTCAAGTATCATGCTTCGTCTTAGCTTAAAGCTTCTGTGAGGCACTAGTTTGGAGTCTAGATCCTGCAATGAATTGACTATCTTAAACCCCTGTCAAAATCCCAGATCTGTAAGAGCATTGAAAGGTATTCCAAACCAATATCTAAGAAAGGTATCATGCATTTAGTTAACATATATGCACTTCATTTTTAGACTATGGTTTTATGAGCCAAAAAAAGTGGAGAAAAATCAGTTTTTTATCATTTGAAGTGAAGAAATTTGCATCCAGTTACTTTAGGTTGATTTTTTTTTGCTCTGCTACATTTCCATTTCTAAGTAAGTGCTATAGATACAGCAATTAAAAAGTCAAAATGTAGTCAGTCTCTGTGATTTCCAACATTTAATATGCACATTGCAGTAACTTAAGAATTAATTATCCCAGCCAACATGCATGACATCACCAGATAGCCAACATGCATGAGATCACCATATAGGTTTCTCTTGTTATTGATTTGGAGAGACCACAGAGGGACAAAGGAGATACTTTGTTGCCTGTCCTCTTATTAAAGGTATTATAATTATGATTGCTTCCTTCTGTGTTTAAATAAAGGCAATTAATTTATCAAGAGAATTAAAGTGATCTTCAATGAATCACAAGTATGAATATGTTATTAATATTGTGTTCAAGTCCAAGCAGACATATGGTAGTAAAGCCAAGATAATTCATTAAATCTAAGCTTTAGTGCATTAAAGTTCACTGACACAGAAACCTGGAGAGACCTTTGTCCAACAGTGCTATGTGGGGGGAATTAAGGGGGATTTAAGTTTTGTATATTATGATTCTAGTACATGACACAATATTGTTGAGTGTTTTTGCCAGAAAATGTACATACAACTCCAAATGACCTCACCTCACCTGCCAGGTGCAGCTAAAAATCAAGAGTGTTTGATGCATCTGGAATCAAACAGCAAAGTGAGATGCCAAAATGAGGCTTTATGATCTATTTTTATGAATCCACATTTGAAAGTATTTACCACTATACTTGTTCTTCTTAAGCAAAAAATGCATTGGACAAGAAAACAGTGATATTAACTGGGTTCAAAAATAAAGCTAGTGGACTAAAACTTTTTTTTTAACTTTTTTTTTTTTTTTTCATCTCCAAGCCCCCAGATGCTGCTACATGTAGTATAGCAGCAATAGCGAGTCTTTTTAATATTCCAGGAAGTACCAAGAACTGGCATGGTTCTGAGAGTGTGGATGTGATGGGTAGGCAGAACATTTCTCCAGGTCTGGATTGTAATTCTGTCACATGTCCTTATACCTAAACTGACATGTCATTGGTTTTAAATGCTGTATAGATTCATAATATTCATTCTATATAATATTCTTTCAACCTCATTTGTTTTAAAACATTGTGTTTATTTTTCTCCACAGGCCTTTGGTTTATCTGGGTCTCAAAATATTTGCTCGCTTTGGAATCTGTGAATTCCTAAACTGTTCAGAATCAACTCTGAGGTCATGGTTACAAGTTATTGAAGCTAACTACCATTCCTCCAACTCCTACCATAATTCTACTCATTCAGCAGATGTACTACATGCCACTGCTTATTTCTTGTCTAAAGAAAGAGTAAAGGTGAGTCCACATTTATAAGAAACAGTGTAGGTGGGAAGTACAGGTGCATTCAAAGGACGATATCTCAAAAAAAGATGCCAAGAGCCAAATATCTACCTAGTGCCAAGCAGTTTGGCAACTCTGAGGTCAAGGAACTGGGCTGCTTTACATGAGTTTTAGGATCTCTCTTACAGTATATGTGGAAGAATGGATACTAGTATTACAGGAATTGAGCTATTTTTGATGAGAGAATAAGAAAACCTCCTTTTAATACGAAACTTCATATAGCTAAACTTTTTCAGATAGGTAAGCTAATGACACATTTTCTGTGACGGTACTTGCCAAACACAGATTGAATGTAATAAATCACCATCTCTTATGCCTTGTGATGGTCATTTTACAGAAGACTCCCAGTACAATATAGGCCATAAAATAGGTTTAGTGCTTCCAAAGCCATATCACCCACTGGACAAGATGCCCTGAGGCTTAAAGAGACTGAATTGGAGCAGAGTATTGAAAAAAATTACTTGTGGAAGGTCCTTGTACCGTAACAGCCACTGGTGTATTAGAGCCACTGACAACCAGAATAAATCAGAGGAACTTTTGTTCTCACACATCCAGAGGGCAGACTGGAGAAGGGGAATTAAAACAGTGCTTGCATGTGTATGCAGTGGAGTGGCAGTACATATTTCTGAGTTGCATTTTTTGATAGAAATTCCTGCCCTGAATTGGGCTTTCTAAGGATAGTGCTAGTGATGGGCACCTGGCTGAGACATTTGTGACTGTAGACAAGCTTCTGACAGCTTATTAAAACTGTAGTAAGTCCCTTAACCTGGAGCTGCAGCTGATTAGTGTGCTGTCCAGAGGCTGACTTACAAATATGATATGCCAAGTGGGAATAGAACTGGGTATTTTCAGTCCCTGATTTGCCAGAGATTTAGCTGGGCTTCCCAAGAATATCTATGAAAAACAGAGAAAACTCGTTTCAGTGCCACAGAAGCATGACTGTTGCCTCCTTTTCCAGAATGTTATTTCCATTACTCTGTAGGCATAGGAGGAGAAAAAAATGTTGCAGCAAAAGAAGGAGCAGAATCAAAGTTCAAAATTCTTCATTCAGAGTTAAAGCCTGGCTGCTTTTGTGTTGTCCAGAGTTTGACTTAACCTAAATACAGAAGGCCAGATTCTGCCACTGAAATTCACACTGAGAAGATATTTTTCAGTAAATTGAACTTGGTTCTTGCCTGGGAAAATTTTCTGGCTCCCAAATTGAAGCAGTATTCTCAGAATCTTTTGCACTTCCATGCCACAGGAGTTAAGAAGACAAAGTTAGAATCCTTGACTTGAAGTTGGGGGTAAAGGTGCTGTAAATTCCTGCAAATTTTGTCAGGGTCAGGAAATAAGCATCAGGTACACTGCTGTGGTCCTGTAAGTCAAGTATTCTCCTGTTTCTGGGCATTTCCCATCTGCACAGGTCTTTCTCAGACAGACTGAGCACTGGTCAGTGTGTCCTTCCTAAAAATCTCTCTCTCATAACTTCATACCACAAAAATAGAATCCCATGAGTAGCAGCTGAAAGAAAGAAGGAAGAAGCTAACACATGGCAGATAGTATTACAGGCAATGCTAACTATGAACCAAGAGAAGAAATAATTCTTTGCCTTTTCTTGTTCTCCACGAGACCCTCTTGACAGTCCTCAATGGATAATATCCTAGCTCCATCAAAGTCAAGTCACTGCATTAATTTCAGGAGGTGTAAAGTAGGGTAGGGATTGTCTTTTCACCTGTCAAGTCTAACCATTCTGAATGGTACTGGCAAATCCAGTAGAGAATTTAGACCTTAAATTCAAGCTAATTGGAATGGAAATTCTCTGCCCTGCTCCCAGATTCAACTAGGAACGTTTCTGCTCTTGTATCTCTTTCTTTTTATTAAAATTTTTAACATAATTGTATCTATGAGCCTTCAGAAAAACCCACCATAAACACAGCATAAAGGCTAGTTTCCAAATGTATACAATATATTTCTGAGATGCTTGGGGTTTTTTCCTCCTTTATGCTATTAATATAGTATTAAAACTTAAGTATAAAACCTTAAAACTAAATAGTAAATAATTTTGTATTTCATTATAGGGTAGATATAATTAGACATAAAGCAATGACCAATGTAGGTAGACATGAAGCACTGAGTGCAGCACACTAAGAGAATCAGAATCTGATACACAAAGTATAGAACAGTGTGTCATGTAACTTTTCCATGGATGTAAACCATCAAGTACTCTTCATAGAATTCATATTAGCTGTAGCCACAGGACACTGTTGTTACACAACTGGATATATAGGAAACATTCCTTACAAATTGTAAACCTAGCCAGAACATAAGTGGAATGTGATTAGGACACATTAAATTTCCAAAAGAAATTAAGGGTTCTGGTGGGAAGAGAAAAATTTTTAGCAGTATTGGTCTTTTTTCCAAGCCAAATACCCTAACTCCGAGTGAAGGTGGTTTCTGTTTTGTTAGAAAACACAAACTAATTTATTTCTTTATGTGCTTTGTCAAAGGTGTGGTTAAGGCAAAATTCAATAGGCACAAAATGGCCAAAAAAGTCATGCAGTGTTCAATGAAGCTTATAATGAATTTTCCATTGCTCTGTCTAGAACATCTGACCCTTACTGATCTGCAGAGTTCTGGCTTTTATTCCTCAGCAACTTGGCTTAATCTTATGGACAGAGTAGGGTTTCTAACGAGTCTGCCAGGAAAACTAAGCATCTTTCTATTTTCAGCAAACTTTGGATCCTATTGATGAGGTTGCCGCACTCATTGCTGCCACAGTCCATGATGTGGATCACCCAGGAAGAACAAATTCTTTCCTGTGCAATGCTGGCAGTGAGCTAGCAATTCTCTACAATGACACTGCAGTGCTGGAGAGCCATCATGCTGCCCTGGCTTTCCAGCTCACCACCCGGGATGACAAATGCAATATATTTAAAAACATGGAGAGGTAAGCTTAAAACCCAGGGTTCTTGTCTGCCCACTAACATCTCTCACTTTCTTCTGTGTAACATAAGATACTGCAAACTAGCATCCTAGAGGAGGGCAGTAGCTTGTGGATAACTCTTCTATAGCCCTTGAGGAAGTTTGCTTCTAAAACAGTGCAGTGCTTCTGCCTGTCCTGCACAGACTTGGGAGTAAACCCATGGTTTCAGTTCCTCCTGTGAATAAAAAGGCAGACACTACCTAAGGAACTTAGTGTAAATCCTAATGTTAGCAAGTCTAGAAAAATCATTTGGACATAGAGGATAAGCTATGGCTGAGTGGGTAGATGTTTGCTGGGTAGAACTAGGATAGAAAGAGTCATAGATCATCAGCCAAAAATGAAATGCCTTGTTGGAATGGGAATGATAGTGAGAGACCTGTAGTTCTTCCAGGCCTAGAAAGGCATTTAGGATGAGGATGTGACCATTGTCTTGGCCCTCTCAAGATACAGCAGAAAAGTGTTGCTGAAAACTTGGCTGGAACATGAGCTACTGCTGAGTGTCTGTGCTAAAAGCCTTGGGAACACACTAGTGTGGCATGTCCTGGCAGCCCTCCTGAGTAGCTGGTGCCTCTGCTTCTGCCCACTTCTTGCACTGTTTCTCCTAGAGATTCAGTCATGCCTCTAGCACATATGTTTCTACACAACAAAGGGTAATTCATCCAGCATAGATGAAGCTGACCAAGCCTTTATTACTTTCCTTTCTTCCCCCAGCACCTTGCTTCAACGGAAATGATCTGTAACATTTTTGTTAGGCTTATTTTAGCAAGCGGCCCTTTGTGAACCAGCCAGCATTCTTAATTGTTTCCTTCTTTAAACAGGAATGAGTATCGAACCCTTCGCCAAGCCATTATTGACATGGTCTTAGCAACAGAAATGACAAAGCACTTTGAGCATGTCAACAAGTTTGTCAACAGCATTAATAAACCCTTGGCAGCGCTAGAAGAAAATGGGGTAAGCGACACTGCAAGTCCTCCTTAAAATGACTAGGCAGGGACTGGGAACCCTTGGCAGTAGGAAATCCTCATCCCCACATGGGTATTCTGAAAAAGTTCATCAGAAACGTGGAGAAAGAGAAACTAGAAATGTGTTTTTCACCTCTGAGTTTGAACACCCTTCTGCTTAACATGGTCATCACACATGTTGAGGGTGAGTGAGACTCACTTGGATCCTACTAATATTGCAGTGCTGTGATGTTGTACTTGGGAACAGAATCTTGATCTGTGTATTTTCCTGTTAAAAATACCATTTTGATGAACCCAGTCACTCCCAGGGAGAGAGTACTAGTGGCAAGACTTGGCATTGTTGTTGGCCATTTCTGCAAAGGAGCCAAGATTTGCCTCAGAACAGAAGCTAAATTACTCCCTCACTTACAATGGGAACTGCTCGTGGTGCAGCATAAGAGCAGGTATATTGACTGCCATATGGCGCATTCACTGAAAACGAGGGCGCTCAGCCTTCAGTGCTGCCTGGCAGCATTCATGGGTTTTCTGTCTCCTTTCTTTAAAAAATCAATTTAATTTGTTACCAATCGAATCAGAGTAGGATAATGAGAAATAAAAACAAATCTTAAAACACTTTCTCACCACCCCTCCCTTCTTCCCGGGCTCAGCTTTGCTCCAGATTTCTCCACCTCCTCCCCTGCAGCGGCACAGGGGGTGAGGGAATGGGGGTTTGTGGTCAGTTCATCACATATTGTCTCTGCCGCTCCTTCCTCCCCAGAGGGAGGACTCCTCATCCTCTTCCCCTGCTCCAGAGTGGGGTCCCTCCCATGGTAGACGGTCCTCCACAAACTTCTCCAACACGAGTCCTTCCCACGGGCTGCAGCTCTTCACAAGCTGCTCTCCCGTATGAGGCCCTGCCGTGGGCTGCAGTCCTCCCAGCAACAGACTGCTCCAGCGTGGGCTTCCCTCAGAGTCCTGGCCTTCTTTAGGCACAGCCATCTGCTCTGGTGTGGGGTCCTCCACGGGCTGTGGGTGGGCATCTGCTCCACCAGTGACCTCTGTGGGCTGCAGGGGAACAGCCTGCCCTCTCACCATGGGCTGCAGGGGAGTCCCTGCTCCAGCACACCTCCCTGCCTCCTTCTTCACTGACCTTGGTGTCTGCATAGGTGTTTCCCTTACATCCCACTCCTCCCTCTGCTGCACAGTTGGTTTTGTTTTGTTTTGTTTTGTTTTTTTCCTTCTTATAAATATGTTACCACAGAGGTGCTACCACCATTGCTGATTGAGTTGGCCTTGTCCAGTGGCAAATCCAACTTGGAGCCAGGGAAGCTTCTAGCAGCTTCTCACAGGAACCACCCCTGTGGCTGCTCCCCTGCTACCAAAACCCCACCACACAAACCCAATACAGTATCATATAGACATAATCAATAGCCATCTGGAACCCCATGGACACAATGAAATTGCCTGTTAAGAACTCATTCTGAAAAACCACACCAGTTTCAATAACAGCTTCAACCAGCAGTTTTGTTGCCAGTAAGAGCAGTGTATAATTTTGTTGGAATGGTTTTTTGCACAGAGAATATTTTCAGAAATGGTTATAATAAAGTTTGCATCAGTAGCAATGTCCTGTAGGAGCTGTAATGGTTTTCTTTCATTTCTTACCATGTTTTTTAGAAAGCTACATTTATGACTGTTGTGTGTAATGGGGGAGATCAGTCTATTTATTATCTGAAGATGGGAGAGGAACAGGTCTTGTTCCTTCACACATCAGAAGCAGACTGGAGCTTAACTGGAGGAGAGCATCTTTGTCCACAGAAGTATATGCTATAATTAGCTTTGTTCTTAGCACCCAGTGATGCTAATGAGAACTCTGTGAATGTGAAGCGAAAGTCGCTATAGGATACTGGTTTTACTGACCAAACTAGGAGAAAATCTGTTAAGTCCTCAGCTGGACAGCCTCTCTGGGTGATTGTAGCAGCATTCAGGTAATGAGGAGAAGAAACATGGAGGAGAACAAGGGAGCTGCTGCTGCTGGGTGTAATGTACCACACTGGCTGACCTTGTGGAGTGTGTAACTCTCTAGGGCACCTGGTCCTGCTGGAGGGCTCTGTACTGGCCTGGCTTGGTGCACAGAGCCCCTCCTCCCAGCCCCAAGAAGTGGGATGCAGCAGTTTTTTGAGGAGCAGCTTCCATCCAAAGAGCCAAACTCCTCTTCTTGCCTATTATGGAGAGCTGAATAGCTGTTGCTGCTGAAGAACGGGGCTTGGACCTGTACAGTCAGATGGTAAAAACAAATACAGTGTCATAAAGAAATCAAACAAAAGTTTAATTCTGCCCTTAAGCCCCAGGGGCTGCAAGGAAATAATCTGCCCCACGAGGCATTTGCGATTCACAGCAAATTCTGCCCAAGAATGGGAAGAATGACAAAGGCTATATAATTTTTATTGAAAACGAGAAGCAAAATGTTTTCCGTCTTTTGGTTGGGAGTTTCTCAGTTCAGCAGGTTCCTATTAAAAGGCCTGTAATATGTGAGTGGGTAAACCAAATCATTTGCTGTGCTTATTACTAGCAGAACAACACTGGCAGATCCTCTTTCAAGTGTGGTTGTATATCTGGTTGCAGCGGCAGTGTGTGTTTCCTGGCCTGGTTTCCAGTCGTGGTGGTGACTCAGTGTAGTGTTTGCAGGCTGAGCTGCCAACCTCGTGTTCCAAATGGGACAGTTCCACTTTTTTTCTTATTTATTATTTTTATACGTATTTGTTCAAGAGCCACGCTGAGAAGCTGCTCTGTTTGTTTCCTTTCTTCTTTTGTTTCATAAACTGAAAAAAATCCTTTCCAGCTCCAGCATCCTTTATCCTCCCATTTCCCTTCATGATGTCACCTAAGCCTATGACAGGAAGCCAACATCTGACATGCAGAGACACCTCTGCACTCTGAGCAGGATGCTGGGACTAAGCACAGTTAGCACATTTTATTCCCAAGACATCCGCATCCAGCAAGTAGAACTGTGCCCTTAGTTTGAACAGATCACAGAAGCGAACATCCTTTCTTGACTCCTGGTGGTTTACTTACTAGGATATTCTCTACTATCCTTAACTGAATGATGTCTAATACTTTTCCATCCTTAATTTCCATGCTTGTGTTTCAGGAGCTTTCCATCACTTTATTTTGGCTTTCTCTTATATAATTTTGCCATGCATTTGGAGATGTATGCACCTCACTGTTTCCTCTGTATCTTCCCTTCCACATATCTAAAAATGAGGGAAAATAATTGCTTTGGGAGTCTCATTTAGGTGAGAACTATGGAGTGGGTGTTTCTGAGCCAGCATACTACCAAATAATCCTTTTTTTATTGTCAGTTTCTTCCTTTAGGAAGAACTTTCTTCCCCACAAGAACTTTCTTCCGAAAAATATGTCCTAATAAAAGGTCAGAATGTTTCTGCTGCTTTGTATCTCCTCTTCATACAAAATACTGCAGGAACTGGTGGCACATTATTATTATTATTATTGTTATTATCATCATCATCATCATCATCATTATAATCATCATCATTATTGCTACTGTTACTTCTTCACTGCTCTGATTATAAACCAAGACCTTATTAGGTGCCAGAGAAGTCTAGTGTATGCTCCTTGCTTCAGAGAGTTTCTCTTCTGCATAGATGGTAGTGTAAATTTCAGTACCTACCCAGCCCTAAAGAGTCAAGTAATAATTTTGTACTTACACGTAATTTTTAAAGATATTTTAGTCCTGAATCTCTGTCCTTTGGTAACTTCATCAGAGCTCCACAGAAAAATAGTTTCTAATCTGGATCATCAGAGCCTTTACCCATATTAGCTGTATACTGGCTCCAAATATAGAGTACTGTTGACGCACGTAAATGTGCCGCCTGGGAACCAAATATAAGCTCTGTGTGGGCTGAAAACTTTTCTAGACTTGCAGAGGAAAGATGAGGCTGTTTGGAAGCATGTTTCTAATATATTGCTTTAATACTGATAGATTCTCAGAAATCAAAATTCCCAGTCATGTCAGAGACTGATGGTCTAACGTGGGTCCAGTGGAAGGGAATGAGGAGCATGCCTGGGAGGCAATGTGGGATCTGACTCTCCTCATAGGAGCAGTGCTGTCAGAATGATTGATGCTCATGCTGATGAGGTTTGCATGCCGAGGATGACCATGCATCTTGGGTCAGTCCTTTTTTTTTAAACCAGCTATTCCACTCTTAATGTACAAGTCTATTAATCCTTGGATTTCAGCAGAGAATTACATTTTTCTGCCTACACAATGCTCATCACTGTGTGTAGTGATGAATGGATCCTCTCCACACTTTGAAGGAGACAGATAAGGCATAGAGGGATTAGATGCCTTGCCCAAAGATGCCCAAGAGATCTGTCACAAAGACAGTGACTGAATCCAGAAACTGGAGTTCAGTGCTAGTTCAGAGAATGTGTGTAACATTCATAATCCCCCTATAAATTCAGTTGGGCATCAAATATGGTAGCCAGTAGCAGGACTGATCCCTGTAGGATCTGATGAGACTATTCCCGAGGCACAAAGCTTTTGAGTAAGTGCACAGAAACCTTGCTAATGGATTCTTTTTAATTCTTAAATGTTACAGAATAATGGTGATGGAGAGTCAATCAAAAGTGTTCTCACGTCTCCTGAAAACCGTATTCTTATCAAACGCATGTTGATAAAGTGTGCTGACATTTCCAATCCATGCAGACCCATAGAGCAGTGTATAGAGTGGGCTGGACGCATCTCTGAGGAGTACTTTGCACAGGTAAGGCAGCTAAAATGGGCTGCTGAAATTCCAGGTGAGCATCTATTTAAAAGGGAAGAGAAGGGTGCATGTACTGCCAGTGTCCCAGAACATCCAAGGCTAAATTACATAATGCCAAAAATAGAAACTTTTTAATTTTAAATGATTGCACATGCTGATGCAAGCCTAGATTCCTTCAGACAGACAAAAATTGACATCTATTGTGCAGTTTTTGAAAAATTTAAGTTTTCAAGTTGTTCAGTTTGGAGCTGGGCTTTATGAGTTTTGCCTGCAAATGCATTCCCATCACAAGAGGCAGAGGAAGGGTGCCTTCTGTGTACGTACATGTGGGCTATGCCTCAAGAATTGGATCATCAGGTCCTAGTGTTAGCATGGGAACAGCACTCACTCCAAGAAATGCTGTAAGACCTTAGCACACTGTGCTGAAGAAGTTTTAGGAAGATGAGGAAAAGGAGAAGGCAGGGTCATTATTGCATATGACAGACCAAATACTGCAACTGGGGCTTGGTACCTCAAGGGGGAAAAAAAGAGGATAAAAAAGATATTTTGCTATCTCTGGGTTGTACAGATTGTTGCTTCCATAAGAGATTGAAAATGGTTGAGCATCTTTTAGGTCTGAAGCAGTCATAAATTAATCAGTAATGTGTGAAGTTACTTAGGGTCAGCTTTGTGTGTAGATGCAGAAGGTAAATTTATCACTTTGTGGGAAACACTGAAAGGCACTATTCATCTGCTGTTTCGCTGAAACCTAGACGAGTAGGTGCTTAAGATTAAATCGCTGCTGCTTCAGATTTATTCAGGTTCCTCTGTTTATTTAGCAGTTGCATGCTCTAGTCAGTGCCAAACAATCAACTGCTAAAAGAAGCCCATGAACAGAGTGTGTATTAGATGAATAATCACAAGAGTGTTTTTTGCAGACTGATGAAGAAAAGAGGCAAGGTTTACCTGTTGTGATGCCAGTTTTTGACAGAAATACCTGCAGCATCCCCAAATCCCAAATATCATTCATTGATTACTTCATTACTGATATGTTTGATGCCTGGGATGGTAAGCAAAGCTCTGCTACATTTCCTGACAATAACTATTTTGTGAACATTTGAAACTACTGTGATATAAAATTGCTTTCTCATGGCTCCTAAAGAAAGGGGAAGAAAAGGGAAGATTTCTGCAGTTCAAGTCAGTTTAATAACTTCATTATTGCTTAAAAGTATTTTGATACTGCTACAAGCCAATCTCAGGGCTTCTCTTTAATATATTATATTCAAGCAATGTTTAACTTTCTTCATTTAAAACTTGCTCCTCTATAAATGGCAAATAGAACATATTCTCTTTGATAGCACTTTGGGCATAGTCCTTTTGTCCACATTAGTATCAGCCATTTTTCAAGACAAATTTCTACAGTCTGGAAACTGCTTGGGGGAGCAGCTGTATCTTTCCAAGTGCTGCCTCCATGGTAAAAGTGGTCAGAAATGTGACTCTCTTGAATGCCAGATCATGACATGTGACTGAGGTTTCATGAAGTAGAATAATTACAAGCATAATTAGCTATGCCCCTCCTGGAAAACTGGGTCCCTTTGCTGGGACTTGCAATACCAGTGTTAAGTAGACTTACAGAACTGTTCTCAGTGGCCTGAGTGATACATGAGTGGTGAGAACTATACAGCCAAAACCATTTCAAGTATCAGTATGACGGAACTAAGCTTTCCTACTTAACACAGTTGAACAGACATTTCAAAATATATTTAAGCAGACAGAATACTGTGACTCTTTCAATTCAGCAAACTAAATACACTCTACTCTTTTTTCCCTAGCATTTGCAGACCTGCCAAATTTGATGCAGCATCTGGATAATAACTTTAAATACTGGAAAGGGCTAGATGAAAGGAAGCTGCGGAGCCTTCGACCACCACCAGAATAGCAATTAGACCATGGTGTGTAATTTACTAACCAGATGAATATTTATTCAAGCTCACTTTTATTCATGTGATTTGAGATTTGTTTTGGTCTCTTCAGTATTACAGTAAGGCTAGCCCATGCGCTTGGGGAACTTTCAAATTCAAGAGAACATGAGGTCAGCAGTTGACTTCCACAAACTACCATGTGTGGACTCCAATGAAATAAGCCTACCAAGTGGAATTACACTGGATTGCTGCAGTACTTGTACTGAAGAGGGTTTATTAGTGAACATTTTTTTGTGATATCTTCCTTACCAGTATGTGAAGGTGGAAGACCTTGAAGAATCCTCATAAAAAGGACATTCACTAGAAGATTTTGCTTAATCCTCAATCCTGCAAGTGAAAAAAAAATATCTATTAATAGAGACTCACAGCTTTTATGAGAAAGCTACATGCTTTTTATAAGCACTTAAGACAGTTATGTAGAACAATCAGACATTCAAAATGCAACTCTCTAAGAAGGAATTTTTGATCTATGAAAAATAGATGTACTCTATTTTTTCACATCACAGAAGGTGCAATCATTCACTTCTGAGCACTACTGAAAGTGAGTTCTCTTTAAGAAATTTAGTAGCAAATGTAAAAAATAACAAGAATTTTTGAGGTTGATCGTTAGCATCTATGATTAAAATGATACGTTTTATTTATTTTGTTAGATGTTCAATATTTTCTATGAATTTATAAATACTTAAAAGCCAAAGCCAACTTTAGATGCATTACAAATTTACATGATTCATACTCATTAATATACATTTATTTGATGTACAGACCTTTTATTTTCATAATGCAAATACAAAATACTATACAATGATACATTTTTATTGCACTGTAAGGATAGATGTGTATGTTTAAATATTGTCTGATTTATGTTAATTAAAATAAGTTTTATTGAAAAGGTCTCACTTGAGAATAGTAGAATAAACAAGAAATGTATCCTGTCTGAGCACCAGAACTGCAGTAGTTCTCCCACAAACCAGTTACAACCATCTGATCTTCCCTTGGCTACAAAAATATTATGTTGGAATTTTTTGTTTCTCCCATGAAATTTTATGACTGAATTCCTTGTCAAAGTCTGCCTTATTTTATATAGTATTTCTACCAAGCATTCCACAGCATATATGAAGAGGTAATACTAAACATCTAATGAATTTCAACATTTTATAGCCTATGTATTTTCTTCTGCCATGAAGGAAACAGAACATAAAACCACCAACAAAAACCTTTAACTCAAGAAGTTTGTAAAGGCTGTGTACCTTCACAATTTGAATGAAACCTTCATAGCAAACACCAGAAAATAATAAAATGTATATTTTAAGAAGTGTCAAAGTCCTAGCCATTTCATTTGAATCATATATTTACTTTGTAGTTTGCAGACTAACAGATACATGAAATTCTTTTAAAAATAACTAAGATACTTGCTGTCTGGGAAAGGGAAGAGTTGAGGGGGTTGGACTGGTATAAGCATGATGAAAGGTGGTATACAGCTGTGAAGCCCCTGCATTTCTGGCCTGTCCTTGCCAAGCCCATCAAACCTTTGTGTGCCCTTGAACAAGTCTCTTCACAGCTAAAAGCAGTGCCACGCTGTATTCCACTTGAAGGACTAGAAGAGTATCCTGTCAGCCTGCCCACCAGGCAGAAAGGCACTCCAAAAGCACTGAAGGAATCGCTGACTATTGTCAGTGCAGAGGCAATTGACTTTAGAGACATTCTGAACCATTCCTGAAGAAGCACAAGCATGGGAAAGATGGCTGATGGAGCAGCAGTAGGAACCTTAAAGCAGGTAAGAAGGGAACTGGTGACCACTCCAGGTGTTACCTGTTTCTGTGTTTCTCCTTCATCTCCAGGCCAGTGAGACTCATGGGCCACCACCATTTGTAGCTCACTACTGTTCATGTTTGTGTCATGCCTTTCTGGGCCACTGCTGCTCTTACCCTGCTTGTGTGCTCTACCTTCCTACATAGAATTTGGGTCATATGCTGTCAGGGCAGGAAAGTCCCTTTCGTAATTTCTCTCAGTCCATCAATGTGTGTATATAGCCTAAGCTGGTGGAGCTCAGATCCTGCCTAGGAGTGCCCAGACCATGCTGCTGTCTCACTGACAATAGCAGGACAGAGGGCATGAGTCCTTGTCCATCTTCCAGGGGTTCTATAATCAATAATGAAAGAGCAAATATATTTCCATTGAAGGCTAAAAAACCCCAAGTATCCTATTTTCACAGGGAATGTACAAAGAGAGGGAGAGTTGGCTGACAGATACATATTTTTCCTGGCAATATTACACTGTTTCCCTATACATGCACCTATCATAATCAGCTGTAATTTGCCACCTGGTGTTAATCTCTTCTATTGCATGCAGGCTCCTGTGCCTAGTTCAAGGAAAAGCTACTCTGGCTCCATTAGAGGGAAGCTGCATCACACCATCAATATCTCCTCCACTTACCTGCTGCAATGAGGATAAGAGAGGAAAAGTAACAGCATATGGGCCCAGACAATGTCTGCAGGAAGGGGGTAAAAATACTACTTAATAAGCATAGTTAATATTCTGTATTATATTAATGAATGGTAAAAGTAGTTAATTTAATCCACTATAAAAATGCCTGATGCATCATCACTGAAAAGATGTGATCAATAAGATTAATTCCCTGAAATTCACACTGCATCTTTAATGACATTACTTGGAGTGTAGACCTGTGCAGGTCAGCCCTCTGTATCAGCCAGATTTATGTCCATATTGATGTACAATAATTTCACTTAACATAAAACACTGATTTGCAGTCATTGAATGCAGCTCTGTTCATTCTGTTGTCCCATCTAAGTCTCTCTGTTGCCAGGAACAGATTATAATTAAGGTCTGGAACCACCATGCCTGATCCTCACCTAAGATCTGTTCCCACTGAGCTTCTCTCTACAACCCACACTGCTTCAGCCTCCTGTGCCGTGCAAAGCTGTGCAGGTTCAGTGGGGGCGATTCCAGGCTGCTGCCCATGCAGCAGGAAGGGCCTTGCCGTGGAGCAGTAATAGCTCTAATGAGATATTCATCACTCCAGGATCCAGATGTCTTTGGATCCCATTGCAAATCCTTCAGCCATTCCAGATCCCCTTCCTTTCTTCTCCAAGATTACATAGCAACATCACATGCTCTGTGCTCTGGACCTTTTCCAGTTTAGTATCTCTTCCCATGCTTTTTGAACTGCCACTCAGTGATGGAGCTCTGCTTGGGGCAGAAACCATGGCTTTACTGATGGTCCTTCACTGTGCAAGGGAGAACACTGGAATAAACTGAAAGAATATGATTGCAGTTATTCCCAATTTCAGACATTTCTTATACAGTATCTGCACTTCTCATTTTTTCTTGCTTTAATGCTAATACAAGGGTAAATTACAATATAGACGTGGTAAAGGAGAGGTCCTTTATGCACCTCTGGAGTTTTAATCTTAAAGCTTTGAGCTTTGTGTTTTAAAACTGAATAAGGTTCATAAATTCAGGATTAAATGACACATTCAGAATGATTTGGTCAATTTTCCATGCTGCATATTTTCAATCAGGTAATACTGCTGCTAAGCCTGAGTATCACTTTAGTTGCTTCCAGGTGAGTCTGAACTATTATGATCTGATAAGAAAAATGTGGGCTCCTCAGCAAATTGCCTGAGATTAATATCTTGGTCCCTTCGAGGGATAGGTATGAAATTCTTATAAAAGGAGAAATCAGACAGGTGTTGTGCACAGCTACCTTGTCTCAGGTCTGAAGATGGCTTTCATACTACAGTTTTCCCAATGGCTATATATAAATTAAAAATCACCTGAAATGGGATGAATGCCTTAGTTTTTGTTGCAGAGCTTTTTGCTGTGGCTGTCTCTGCTTGTCTCAGTAGAGACATCATTGATATGACACTTAAGAAAATGTGTCATGAACATGAAGGAACTGAAGCAATGACAAATCCATTCCTACATAAAAGAGAAGAAAGGATAATAAAATTAAATATTTACTAATCCCTCACAGGATGCCTAGAAACAGCACAGGGAAACTCTAGGCAGTTGTGCCCTTCTGTGAGACCAGAAGGGTTTGAGTCATGACTCTGCATGGAGCACTTTGAAATGAAGTCTCAGAGCTATTCACAAGCTTCAGAACAAATAATCTCTCTGCTGACGTGTGCCATCATGCCTCCAAGGTACAGTGGTCCCAGGGGTGCTCGTTAAATGATAGCAGGACGGATTGCATTTCATCCTGACATGATGCTTGGATGCAGAAAATGAGCTTTTAAATTACTGCCATGTCCCTGTGCAGCCTGTACCGCTGGTTAAGAACAAAGGGGATGTCCAGATGCTTCAGCTAGTTTTTGTTCTGCTGAAGCTGTGGCTCTGTGGGCAAAGGACTTCTGTGTTGTAACTCCACTGAATGCTTTCTCTCAGCACCTGGTTTGAATGTTACCAGGGCATGTTTTCCTTTTTTCCCCTTGTTTAGCATCTTTAAGAATCTCCTCACATACTTCCCACACAAACCTCAGTGAACGTAGTTTTGCAAGGCCTGCAAAGCTATGTGTTAGCAGCCTCTTTAACAAGCAAGGCAACTGAGTTAGAAAAGGCCACAGGACCCAGAGCCACTAAGCATAATGAGTTTGAGGCTTCTAAACACCTTTGAAGACCTGAACCTTCAAGCCCTCCCTGTGATTTAACAATGAGTCTTTCTCAGGCCAGGAAACAGTCTTCTGGTCTTCTGTTGTTTCACTTCTTCCCTATCCAAATCTCTGTCTTCCATTTTAGTTCTGATCCCAGTTGCTAGGAGTCCTTCACTTCCACTGGCTGTGCATTTCCCTCAAACACACAGCCATAATGCTGGGACAAAATCCTGCCTTTCAAACCGACTCTTGCTGCTTACCACAAGAAAACTTTTGCCACGAGAAAATCTTTTTCTGATTCAAGTTAAAGTGAGCCTGGAAAAATACCCTATAATGGCTGAAAGCCTTACACTGGTATCCACAGGCAGAAGGAGAACGCAAACATAGTTAAATAAAACAGCTTGTGAGCACTGCATTACTACTGCATACAGTGTGAATGTATGCAAGGTCTTTTATATCATATTCCTACATGCAAATTGAAGTTCAGGAGTGCTAGCAGGCACCTCTGCTTTTGAGGTTATGTTAGCAAATACAAGCAGCTGTGGACACTTGCTGAAACTTGAATCTCTTTTCTTGGTTTGCTTGCTCCCCCCCTCGAGTGGCAAGAGTCATTACTAGAGCTAAGCTACATTCAGCCCATGGTAATTAACAGAAGTTACTTTATCCTTTAATCACACACATTTCTCTTGAGGTAGTGAAATGGCACAGCAACACACTTAGAGAGGAAGTGAAAAAGGTGATTGCCTGGTTTTGAAATGAAAGGAGGAATTTAGCCAGTGCATAATTATTCAAGTGAAAAGTTGGTCCTGTCTGTCTTTAATATTCCAAAGTGGTATTTGATGTAAATCCTTCCCCAGAGTTCATTACATTAGCTCTTAGCTCAACCTGAGCACACGGAGTGCCAAGTTCAGCATGCAGAGTGTTTTATAACCAAGTAGAATGACGTCATCCTAGTGATCCTGCAGCTCCCTAGTTCCTTGGGAGGAGGTACGGCTTTGTCTTCAGCCTGAAGATGAAATGGAGTATGTTTGATGAAATCCCCTTGGTATTTGCAGTGTGGAATGTGTGAGGAATATTGCTTTGCACCTCCAGCAATAACTGCCCCTTTTTGCCTAAAAAAAAAAAAAAAAAGTTACTTTGCTGGTAATATTTTTCTGTACAGAAAATGAAAATTTTCCTTTACAGATCCCTAGGTGCTTTACAAGAAGACCCACTGAGCCCTTTTGCAGGTGGGTAAAACAAGTTGCAGGGAAGCACACTGGCTTGTCAGCATCCACGCCATGGCAAACCCTGGCCTAGTCCAGGCTGCTGCTGAGGGCTCTGGGTTGAACCATGCTGATTTTCAAAAAAAGTGGGAAGAGAAATTTAGAAAGCAGGTGCTTGCATAATGGTTTGTCACTGCTGCTTTACAGAGATTCTGGGCAGAGCTCCCGAGAAGCCAGAAATCCATCCTCCCTCCCCATTTTGTCCTGACCTCAGTGAGACTTGCGGGAGTGTCGAATGCCATCGGCGTGTGCACACAGAGTCCCAGCGCCTGTCCCCAGCAGTGGGTGGTGCCAGCTATTTCAGATGCTGTTTACCGTAAGTAAGAAAGACTGCAATGATATAGCATGAATGTAAGTGCTAAGAAACAGGCAAGATGCCCAGCCACCCCACCGAGACTGGGCTGGGAACAGCATGCATAACGTCAGCCACAGCTTTTGGGGATAGTTAGGGAGAAAGACTCCAATTGCATGAATAGGCAGTTTTCAGGACATCATGAAAGCAGAATGAAAGTCTCCTCACCATACAACCAAGCCCTGAAAGTGAGCAGCCTCTCCCAGCCCCTGAAAATCCATGCTGGCAGGCTCAGTGCAAATATGCTGTCCCCTGTTATGACAAATGTCTGACAAGCCAAGGTCAGAAAACAGAAAGTTTTAGCTGCTCTGTCATGCCAAGAACAAAAAAAGAAAACAAAAAGCCTTGTTTTAAAATAAGCTGTTTTAAATAAACAAGTGTTCTTTGAACCACACCATAGTACATACCTAACAATATTTGTTAAGTAAATATCAGTGACATGTTTAAGTCTGGATCAGTATGTATTAGCAAAGCGGTATGCATGTTGCTTTTGTTGTAACAAGAGTCAACAGTGTTTCTAGAAGGTGGTCTGAAAAAAGGGATTTTGGGTTTTTTTTTCCCCTACTTAGCATCCCACAGAGAAACATCTGCCCACCAGTAGCCCACTTCAGGACTTCTAAGTAAAAAACCTTCCCAATGCACTGCTTTTGGTGAATTTATACTTTACTTTCATTGGCTTAGGTCAGTTCATAATCTGCATTTTAGGTGTTATTTTTTACCCATGGATCCACCTCTTAGGTCATCTTGGCTTTCTGAAGGAAGTCTTCCCTGAGACTGGTTGCAAATACGTGGTCACATTATTATAGTCTGTACCTCAAATGCCACAGTGCCACGGCTGAGCAAAGTTCAGACCTATTCCCACCTCTTCTGATGAGCTGCTCCCTGAGCTTAGACTTTCTTCAGTTTGATACCAGTGCTGTATGCACAGAGAGCCCCCCTGCACCGGCCCGCTCCTCACAGCTTCGCAGCTGAGCTGACCCAGTGGCAGCCATATGGCAAAAGCCACTGAGGGACCAAGAGGGCACCACACAGCCTAAAAGCCAATGGTTGCTTTTCTGTGTGCAGCAAGAGAAGAAAGTACTATCAATTTCTAATTTAAACAGACCTTTGAATATGTCTTTGTATTTTTGTCTGTCTATCCTTTGACCTTGTGGCTTATTTAACTCTTTTAAGAGCCAGAAATTAACTCTAGGGTTAATGCACAGACAGAGGAATGCAGAGCAAGAGAACAGGTTGTAACAGTGATGATGCTGAATTTTAAATTCTCCACCAGGCACAAAGGTTTTCCTTTACATCTGACAGGCTGTGAGGAAGTCAGACTGCTTCTGAAGTGTCCTTTCTTGTATGTCAATACATGTGCTGTCTTTGGGCATGCTCAGAAATTTTGGGCTTAATAAATCATCACTGTAGACCATGTACTTCCATGTATGGGAAGTGACGTGACTTTTTCTCCCTGCCTTTGTGGGGTGTTGGAGATGAGGAAGGGTCATGCTCTGTGGGACCCGAGGGGGAAGAACTGAAGTTCATAAATGAGGCTTGAGCTACCCCAAAGTCAGGCCATTGAAGTCACAGTGAGGCTGTGCAGGCAAAAATGACAGCCAGGCTTTTATCTGTGTGCCATGGCATCGCAGGTCGATACTATGACTTCTTTCTCTTCTTTAAAGCTTTCATGTCAGAGAAATCAAAGCCCCCTACCTCCCCTTCCCAAATTGCCTCCAGTTAATAATAGCACGAACAGTAGTTAGCCCAGGTTTCAAAGAGACTTTGATGAGATATTGCTCTTTGATAAGCCATTTCAAGGGCAGGAGGCAAAGTGTTTACTTTGCTTGGAAGAGGAGTCTGATGAGCAATTTGCTTTTCTGTTGCTGAGGCCAAGCAAAGCTTTGTTACCTCCAGAATACAGAGACTGCAGAGGTGGTTTATGGCTACTGCTCTTTATGTCTGGCTATTTCTTTGCCTTGTGCAAGAAAAAGTTATGAATGAAGCCCAGCAGCCTGTCCTTACCTGTGACAGCTGCCTCTGCGCTGAGCCTTAGCACCATCCACTCCCCAGCTTTCTCTCCCATGGCTGTTTTTCCAGCCTTTGGCTGTCCTGGGAGGCCCTGAGGAATTTAGGTGTACAGTGAAACCCAGGAGTGCAGCTGGCCCAGAGGAGAGAGCAAGCTGCAGCTTTATGAATAGCTGAGCCCTCCTAACCATGCACTGCAGCAGAAAGGGGCAAACACGCAAATAAGGCTTTGGGTTGGGCTGGCCAGCCTGGCTGGTGGTGAGCCAACCTATAAGACATGAAATGATTTAGTCTGAGGATACTGAAGCTCTCCCAAAGCCTAGGCCCATACTAAACGCACCAGATGCTTTCCTGGAGGCAGGAAAAGCCACACCAAAGGAGTGAACACAAGCTACTGACTCTTGCTACAGGAAAGCTTTACAAACACAGATTATAGATGGCAAGGCTATTCAGTGTTCATATTATTACAGAGGACATGAAATATATCTGACTCATTGCACAGGCGCAATAAATAGGTTTACTCCAGCAGCCTAGCTGCACCTTTCAGGTCAGCATGGGAGTAGGACAAGGCAGGAGGTGTTGGGGTGCCCCCCACGCATTTTCCTGACCATGCAACTTTCCAACACTGTAGATGGACCATAAGGAATTTTGTTTAGAGATTGAGAGAAAACTTGAGTGTATTCAACTGGCTGCAAGATACCTCCAAATAGCACAACTCCACCATGCTGATTTTGGCCCAGCCCAGCCTGGATGGTGGGAGTCCATGCAGATGGATTTGGGAGCTGCAGACCACCTGCCCCAGGGGTTGAGATAACCCAGCAGCTTTGTCACAGCCCAAACCCCATGGCTGCTGCAGCCATGGCTCTCATTCCGCCGTGCCAGTGGTGCCCACAGCAAGGCCCAGGGGAAGGAAATCACTCGCCAGGCCCAGTCACAGGATGTTATTCACATGCTTGAATCTGCAGGATCAAGCACTTGTTGTCGGAAGGAGCCAGGCAAGACAAGCAGGTGTTGCACAAGATGCTGGCGTTTGGGAGCGGGCTGCGAAAGGCAACAAGTGAGCTACAGACAGACATCGCTGGAAAAAAAAACATTCCTTTGCCCGGCCGAGGGTCAGGTAGGCAGCAGTACGTGCTGCACTGGGGCTCAGGCAATTACTTCTCGGTGAAAATGCCGCGTTACTGAGGCCGGGCCGGGCCCTCGGGTCAGCTCGGCTCGGTGGGAGTTTCTGTGCTGTCCCGAACCAGCCGCCATTTCCCCCGGGACAGGCGGCAGGAGGGCTCACGACCGCCCTGCCACGCGTGTCCGGCGGGCACCGCGCCGGCACGGAGCTCCCACCCCGGGTAAAACGCGAGTCGTCTCCCCCCACCCGAGCCTACTGCGGGACCCGCCCGGCTGTAAGGTCATGTTTATTCAAGCCAAGAAGGCGCCGGTCCCCGCCCGGCGGCAAGCGCCCGCGCGCCCGGGCAGGAAGCGGCTCTGGGCGGCCCCTCCGGGGCGGGGCGGGGGCTGGGTCCCGGCCCGCAGGAAATGGCGGCGGCGGCGGCGGCATGAGGTGAGGCGGGAGGGAGGGAGGCCGGCCCACATGGCGGCGGGGGGTGCCTGCGGCCCCGCTCCGGAGCGGCGGTTCCTCCGCCCGGCCCACGGCGGGTTTAGGCGGCCGAGCGGAGCCGGGACGGCCCGAGCCGGGTCTCCTTCCCGCCGGAGCGGGTGTGTGGCGCAGTGCGGTGCGCGCCCTCCGAGCCCCGGCCGGTTGCGCGGCTCTCTCGGCCTCCTGCCTGCGGCTCGCTTCGTTACTCGTGCGTCGCCTTGCAGGATCCGCCACCGTGACGCGCGTCTCGCGTGGGAATTCCCGCGGCCGTCGCCGTGCCGGGGCGGGTGGAGAGGCGCTTCTGCGCGCAGCCCGTTCCCCAGGGCGGCAGGGGGGTGCTGCGGGGCCCCGCGGGGCCTGCTGCCCGCGGCTGCGGGCGGAGGGGCTGCCGGTGGACTTGCTTTTGTGAAGTAGCTTGAGACCCTGCTCTTTGCTGCTGCAGCCTTTCTGGTGGGTGTGTTGAAGCCACAACTTTGTGTCTGTAGAAGAACAGTTTTATTCACCTCCAGCTGTGAGATAAGCAGCCTTTTGGCTGAGAGTGCAGCCCCTTACAGCCATTTTATAAAGCAGTTCGTGGCCTCGGTATTGCTTGAATCAGAACAAGTAAAGCTTAAAACGTAAGCCTGCTTAGAAAAGGCTTAAGTAAGTGGAGGCCAGAGCACCTGAGTCCCGATATATACGGGCAAATGGGCACACCAGCATAAATGCAACAGAGACAAAATTTAACAAAAAGTCAGTGTTTTGTCTTGGGCTGTCCCAGACTCTGCACTCTGCAGTGAGTGCAGTCTCAGTGCTGAGCTGAGGGGGAAGCGGAGACTCATCTTTACATGGGCCCTGGCTGCTTTGCTGCCCATTGCTAATGAGCAGCGCTGGTCACTGTCAGAAAACAGAAGTGGGCAGTTACAAAGATACAGTTGAGTATGAGGGCAGGAACAGGGAACTGCCTTCCAGGCCAGGAAGGGAGGCTGGGTGTTAAGGCTCTGTGTTCTCCTTTGGGAGACCACAGTCAGTTCCTGAGACTTCCCAGGAGTTTCTTGGTGAGATTGATCTGGAGGACTAAGAAAGTGGAGCCAGTGATACTATATTGACTCCACTGATACTATCCTCCTAAATTAAATGGTGGAAGAACAAGGCCTGCCTGTGAGATAAAGTCAGGACCTACTTCATCTACCTACAAGGTTTTAATGGCAACTAGAGGAAGCAAGTTAAAAGCCAAATGTTTCTGTAGAAAAAGAGGCGTGTGTTTGGTTTGAATTGAACACAGTAATTCCTGTTTCAGACCTGTTGTGTTGCCTGTTGTATTTGTGCTTTTGACATTGTCTCACTTGCGTGTTTTTGCTCACAGGCCCGTGGGTCCCTTTGTTCCTGGTTCCAGGACTGGGTGAGGAGGGATGCTGGACCTGCTGAAGGATCACGGTAACCAGTTTGGAAGCTGTGACTGTCTGTTTAGCCATAGCTGGTTTGTGTAAGCCTATCTTGATAACCAGTACAGCCCAGTGAAAGGGCTTTGTGTGATGCCCTCCAGTGGCAACAACGTGTACTGATATTTTAAATCAAGAGGGAACAGAATTTAAATCAAGAGGGAACAATTTGCTCACCCGAATGTGGTTTGAGGGTAACTCCTCCTAAGCCCAAGGGCCTTTGGGCAGCCCTGGCAAAGTCCCCAGTTAGCTGCTGGGTGAGGCGTGGTTGGGAGTATCTCATCCTTTGGTAGTTCCTGCTGCTGCAAGCTCTGCAGGGATGTGTAGATCACTGCTGCAAAACAGGGCAGCTTGTGGGGTTTATGTGGACAACAGCAGAGCTCCTGTCCTTCACAGAAGATGAATTTTGCTGTCTGCCAGTAAATGCACAGAGTGAGAAGGAACAGGAAAAAAAATGCCAACAGGTATCAGGAAAAACACATCTTGCTGCACATAACGCACTGTCAGAGACAAGGACAATTTGTTTTTAACCGACTGTTGTCCTTTCACATGATCTAGTTCAGCAGTGAGCTGTTCCTGTAGAGTTCTTGTAGGCAGGCCAGAGATGAGAACTGGTTTTGCCTTATCTGAAGCATGTTTCACTGCAAAGAAATAGCTCTCAGATCGACAGCTCAATGCAGTTCTCCAAGATGAGTGCTATGCCCAGGATTCCAGATAAACCAATTACATTTGGTGTTAGTCTGCTCTGGGGTACCATGCTGGGCCTGATAATGCCCTTAGCGTCAACAGGAGGGCTGTCAATGCAGCTTCTGGTTCCCTTTTTACTGTCAAATGCAGCTTTCAGTTCTGTGCAGGGCTTGGCCCTTACAGTCCTACAGGCATACTGCTCTTCCCCCTCTTTGGTGGAGTTACACATAAAGATGAGGTCGATGTGAACTTCCAGCTTGGATGCCATACTGGTCTGATCGATAGACTCTGTAGTGGACGTGGTGGCCTCCCTGTAAAGGATTTATATAAAAGTAATTCACAGTGACAGCTGGTTTTTAAAAATTCAGGTTGTTCGTGCCTATTCCTTTGCTGTATAAATATTTAAGTGACAGGATTGGGATTCCTAAGGGAGGAATTGGGTTATTGCTGTCAGATGAAGCTTTTATTAAAGAGAAACATGCAAACTCGTTTCCCATATTGTTTTTAACCTAGTAGCCAATTATTGCTTATTTGTTCTTTTTTCAGATAGTGCTGTTGCTGCCTTAGCTGTCCTGTACCATGCCTAGGAATGACAGCTGAGTTGTATTCTGCTGAGCAGGCAGCTGCCTACTCAGCCATCAGACCTGCACTCCAACAGATTCACCAAGCTGGCAACATAATGATGGAGCTCTTTGGTACCCGTGGAGTCCCACTCACAGGGTGTCTGAGCACCTTGCATTTGGCTCAGAAAATCTGTCCTTGCAGCAGTCATGTGAAAGAGTTATGAAGTCCCAGGGACTCCCAGGGCAGTTCACCAGTTGAAAAATATTTTGCATTGGGTTCTTGTATCATCTAAGGTGAATGGCTAATCCTGGTGCCAAGATACAGGTATGGTTTAAACACTTGAGGTGAAAGCTGTTGGTGGGAAGCAGTGGGACTGTTCACAACAGAACATCTGCTTTCATCAGAATCATGGGGTTCACCAGCAGTCTTGGGGTACTAAATGCTTTGTTGAGAGCTTCAGACATCCTCATACCTCTGCTCTGATACTTGGGTGTTTTTCAGATATCCACTTAGAGAGTGTGGCTCTCAGTTTTGGGCAGACAAAAGATAAAACATCTTCCAGTGGGTGGAAGTTGGACCCTGAATCAAGGCATACATTTTTTTAAGCAAAGAATGGTGCTTTCTCACCACTTCATTCCCTGGCTGAGGAGCTGCACACTTTAGCTGCTGTCCTCTGGTGTGGCCTTGCCAATGTCAGCAGGGCTCACACAGCTGCCTCCTGCCCTCTGCGTTGGCAGTGCTTGCTGACCAAGTCACCCATTTCTGGTGGACACAAGTGCTCGCTGCAAGACAGAGCAACTGAAAGTCTGGCCTGCCTTACAGGAGGTCTGGCAAAGTGACTATTAACAATCCTTTCTGCCCTGGAAATCTCTGAATTCCTAGTAGACTAAGAAATGACCCTGTACTTACATAGGTCAGTGTCACTAAACCCATTTTCTCTTGATGCGTGCAAAACAAATAGGTATTCAAGAGAAGATGGTACTAATCACTGCCGTAGGGACATGTTCAGCTCCTGGTTTTGTGGTTTCTGCAAAGCCTGATTCGAGGAGGCTTTTTAAGCTGTTTGAGGGAAGAACAGACAAGCTTTTGGCACATGGTTCCACATCAGATCTCTTCAGCTTTGCCAGGCTGTGTTTATTTGTAGAGACCCTGCATATTGTAGAGGCCGCCACCTGTTCCTGACTATCCCTGATAATGGAAGCTTGAACGAATGATTTTTTTTAAATGAACGTGCAATAAATCCGTGGAAAAGCTTCTCTGTTCATGACTCTTGATTGAATTCAGGTAGTTTTGACATACACAAATGAGGCTGTTTAGAGCTAGACCAGCCTGCTTGACAGGCACTGCCTGGTTATCTGGTGTCTGGAAATGAAGCCTAAACAGGGACGTTTGAGCTGAATGTGGGCTAGAGCACTGCTGCCCCCGCGGGACACCCAGAGCTTCAAGGGCCCAGCTTCAGGGGGAAGAACAAATCTGTGAGTGTGGAGGGTGTACCCAGGTGGAGGTGAGCATGGCCAAAACAGGATAAAAATGATGCTTTAATGTCTCCATAGGGGCAATCAGACACTGCAAAAGGCTTCAGTTTGTTTTTTCCCTAGATGAATGAATTGAGAAGCATGGGCATTCTGTAAAAATGTCTTTTAATATTTGAGGCTGTAGTGCATGCTTTGGTATTTCAAAAAGACTCACTGCGTATGGTAGGTGCTAACAGTTCACACACAAGGGAGGTGTATTTGATTATCTTGTGTCACAGACTTCATGTAGCAACAAGAATACTTGATTATGAGATCTGCTTCATGGTTGGAGTGTTTTCAGCTCTGTCTAACAGCTGTACAGCGATTATGCCTTTTGCTATTTTTGTTTTTCTTTGAATTTTTAGCTCTTCAGCGGACATAAGAGTGAAATTAATGATTGCTCTGGAACAGGGGGAGTTCCCTAGGTATCAGATGGGGACTGGGGGAACCAGTGATCCAGCTGCCACTGCTGCTTGGTGACAGTGTCATCTCTGAGAAGGATTTCTAACTGGAGAATTCTGAGATGTTGATGGATCTTGTGACCATAATGGTTTTCAGCTAAGATCCTGCCTAAGAGGACAGAAACTGTTGTAAGGGCTCAGGCCTGGCAGCTGTTTCGGGTCAGGGTTGCTCTCTTTTTTGGGAGACAACTGGTTTATAGGGAGTGTGATAGAGCAGTTAACACTGAAAGAGGGCATTGTTCAGCACAGGTTACCTGTAGATGTGGTAGCTGGAGAACACAGGTTATGGGAGAGCAGTCCATGAGGGTATTGTGATTCCAGTGTATATCCGTAAGATACCAGGTGTTTCCAAAGCAAAGCAGGGATGGACGTAATGCTGGAAGTGTGAGTTGAATGCATAAAGGTGCTGGGCAATATCTGCATTGAAAAATGACAGTCTGCAGTTCTCATAGTCCAGCAGGATGCCAATCCTTCGGGGGGGGATAGTAATTCTGATGTCTGGTGTCATCCCACTGTGCAGGAATTCATACTTGTGCCTGTAGGCAAGAGACAGACAAAAAATGTGAGGGCACCCTGGCTGTGAGGGGAAGTGCTTTGTCCACAGAAGTGTGTTCCGGGGTATGCCTCCTGCTCACAGTCCCATCCCCCCTGTGTGCCCTGTGCTTACTGCCCCCGTCACAGCCACTTTGCTGAGCAGTGGCTGTGTTTGCTGAGGAGTGGTGTGCTCTGGGCTTACACACAGCCTCACCCGCTGTGTCCACACCTGCCTGTCTAACCTGTGTAACTGGCCTCGTTTCACATCCCAGTCCAGCTGTGAACAGATGGGTGCTAGCCCTTCGATGTGGACGAGGTACCAGCACAACATGGGACTTCCTAGTTTTTTCCATGTCTCAGAAGGCAGCATGGGTGTCCTGTAAATAAGAGGGTGCATCCTTGCCCACTAGGTTTAGGCTGAAGTTGTCCCTTCCCCCATGCAGGAGCTGTGTTCTGTTAGGCTTGCCCCAAAACACCACTTGTCATCTCAGCCTTGCCCCGAGGTAGCTGGAGGCACTGCTAAGGAGGGAGTTGGCAACATGACTCAGTCTTGTCCTTCCAGGCCCTGCCATGCTGCTCACTTGCTCCCTGAGGGCCCCTGGTGCTGAGCCCTCTTTCCTGCCAATGTTAGGGTGCCGCTCACGCCCGCCTTCACAGCAGTAGCCAGGGAGCGTAATCCCTTGGGCAGAGGCAGCCTGACTCACGCTGTGGCTAAGCATCCTCCAGACTTAGGCAACATTTTTCAAACTCCATTCTCTAAATGACATTTCTGGTTGGTTTTCCTACAAGACCTCCCTGCTCAGCCAGGGTGGTGTTAATGCGCAAGTTCCAGTCTTCATGCTTATTTACTAGAGGGTGATGTCTTTTGACTGTGGTTCCTGGACTGTGGGTTATTGGAGGTCAGGAAGGTGCTCTGTATGTAAGCAGCTTTGTTATGAGGGTAGCCCTCTTCTTCCCCATGTAGTCACTGAGTAATGCTGAGGTCCTTTAACAGCTACTCAGAGCTCTCTTTAGTGTGGCATGCTGCAACCAAAAATATGAGACTTCTATGGGAACATGTGCCTTTCTGAGCAGAGATGAGATTTATTCAGCTGAAGTGAGTTATCTGGCATTTCATAAGGACCGGCTTCTTCACTAACCACCTCCTCCACCCGTACCACTTAAACCTGAGAAAATTTCCCTGCAGAAATGGGTAAGGCAGTGACTCAAACTGAGCAATGGCCAAGCTCCCTTTGCTCTCTGAAGTCTATGCTCATTGCTCCAGAAGAAAACAAACCTCAGTCTACCTCTTAGCTCAACATAGCAAAGAAGTCAAATTAGCTTGCCTGCAGTGTATGGGAGAGTCATTAGCTTTAGTGGGTTTGGTCTCTCTCATTAAGCAGCATTTCTTGCTGTGTGGGAGGCGAATGCCAGCTCTGCTAATGACTCTGGCCAACTGCTGGGGAGCTGAGAGCAGCAGGCACCTGGGGAGGAGCGTGTGCTCCAGCCAACTGAGCTGCAGCTAAAACCTCGCTGTGTACCAGCAGGCAGAGGTCAGGCAGATGTGGGCCTGTGCTGTGCCATCCTTACCATTCGCTGATGGTGCATGCTGGGGACACAGGGGTGCCGTCCAGGCTCCCTGGTCAAGAGGAGCCAGCAGCACCCTGGCAACCCTCAGGGGCTGAGCTGTGAGCCGTTCAGACAGGCAGCAGGCAATACTCAGCACTGCCTGGGGGTGTGACTTGTTTTCTTGCTCCTGGGTGCTTCACAGGGTGTCTGAATTTCGGGTGGGAGTCAAAGGCAATGATGCTAATGTAATGGTGTCCAGGGGAGAGGCAGCAGGTTCAGCTGAGACATGAGGGGAGCTGGCTTTTCTGCATGCAGGTGTGGCTGTTAGGTACTCAGTAGGTAGGAGAGAGATAAGAACAGTGGCATACAACTAGGTTTAACCAGATACATAGTTTCTAGGTTACATGGATCTATGACTCTCTGTCTTCCCGCTGGGGTTTTGGTAATCTAAAACAAGACCCTTACAGCTAACTTCTGTAATGCAGATTTTATTCAGATTTGTTCCTGGGACTGCCTATTTCAGTGTGAGAATGTCATTAAGCAGGAGGATTTGCTTAAAGGTTCCAGTACCCTTCCAACACTAGTTCACAGTGCCAATGGTGGAACGTCAGAGACCCCTGGTTAAGTGCTTGGTCTGGGCTTAGATATAAAATCTCTGGCTGTCCCTTGCGAGTAAGAGCTCTCTGCTGCTCTGCCTGCAGGTATACATGTAAGAGGTGTTCCTTTCCGGTAGGAGAACTGCAGCCTCCACAGCCCTTACCTCGATGGTGTGATGATATGCCTCATGCACCAGGATGAGTTGTTTGCCCCCAGATAACCATGTCTTGGAGTGTTTTCAAAAGCCACACCAATTCTGTACTCTGTATCTTCCTCAACTTCCACCTCCCAGTAATGCTTTCCTGGAAATGGTATCAGACTGCCCAGGATCCCAATACACCTGTGGGAGATAGACAGGAATATGTGCTTTGGCAGGGACTCTGCAATGCTATTTGCAATGGTTAGGTATGTAAAGAACCTGGACGTTACATATCAATAAACTTTTGCTGTCTCCTTAGCAGTGTGGCATAGATTTTTGACTACAGCAAAGTCCACGTGCTGAGGACCTGACAAAACCTGCAGGTTTCTTTGTGATACCTACCCTAGTTTTGCCTGTGGGTAGCTTTGTATAAATTAGTGTCCTGGGCACTTGCAGGAATAGGGGGAAGAGCATCCTATGCTGCCTGGATATATTGTGAAAGTTATTTGTTAGAAAAGAGAGTGCTCTGGTGAACCCCAGTATAACAGGGGAAAAAGGCTACAGATTTTGTATTTTTTTTCCCAAACAGCTCAGGGCTTTAAATGTCACCCAGCATCAGGAATTGAGCACTGTAACAGCATGAAACTCCTGGGGCAGCTGGGGAGGAGGAGACCTGCCTATGCTGTGTTTGGAGAGACCAGCAAGAATTGAACATGGCAGGAGAGTGTGGAATATGCTTAGGTACCTGGGCCATGAACAGTTTGAAGAGTAGACTGGTTTCTAGCCCTTATGATAGGAACCATATAGTAGATAACTCTTTAAAAAGATTTGTAGGAGAGACAGACAAAGACAGTATACCCTTCAGCTTGATTTACAGGCACAGTCTCAGAGTCAAAGCAGTTGGGCACTTTGAAGACATAAGTCTGCAAAAACACAGGTTCTGAAGCAAGAAAGTTGGGCAAAATAACCCATGCCAAATGCTTCTGAAACACCCTAACTGATATTAAGAGGGCAACATGAATCCTGTAAGCCTACACCCCAGCTTTTCTTCAGGAAAAGTACATGATGTATTAGCTGTCATTGCTGCATCAGAGGGGATAGCAGGTTTCAAAACACCTTCAGTTTTGGATGGGGAGTCATGCACAACCTGTACATTTCTGTGGTAGGGTTGTCTAAAGTTGTAAATTACAAAGGCAAAGGATGTTGGTGGCAGATTCTGAGCTCATCTAACCTCTAGGTAATGCTGAGAAAGCTGCACTCAGCATTTGGAGGGCCTGATGTGCAAGGACAGGCATGCTCAGCAAGATAGCTGTATTGTGTGCCACCTCAGCAGCAATCACTTAAAGCAAGGGTACAATTCATTGCAAGTGCATGTAGATGTCTTGGGAATAGCTTGAAGGCTGCTGAAATCGGGAATCAGAGAGGCTGTGTTGTTACAGCTTCAGAAGGAAAAGGAGTGA